CGTTATAATTTTTCACAAGTAATGATTATTTTTGTTATTAATTTCGTGTGTGTGTGTGTGTATGTGTGTGTGTGTGTGTATGCTGGTCCTGGGGCTTGAACTCAGGGTGAAGATGCTTTTTTTTTATGCAAGGCTAGTACTGTACCACTTGAGTCACAGCTCCACTTTGGACTTTTTGATAATTGGTGATTAATTGGAGATAAAGAATATCACAGACCTTCATGCTTTGAATTACAATCTTTCAATCTCAGCCTCCTGAGTAGCTAGGATTATGGATATGAGTTACCAGAAAGTTCCCAGCCTTTCACAAATAACTATTAACTCTACAGAAAAGGCTTGGCTTGTGTGGTGTACCTATTAGAAACACTGCCAGATTTGTTCCTTTGGGCCTAGATGATTTTTCTACCCCAGGGCATGAGTGATAGAAAAACTGAGATGGACAAGAGAGAAGTGTGGAAGAGAGCCTTAACTTCAGGTACTATCAGAAGTAGACCACTTTTAGAAAAGAGTAGATATAAAAGTTGAAGATATAGGGGCTGGGAAGGTGGCTCAGTGGTAGAGTGCTTGCCTTGCATGCTTGAGGCCCTGGGTTAGATTCCTCAGCACCACATACGAAAAAAAAATAAGAAAAAAGAAAAAAGAAAAAAAAAGCCGGAAGTGGCGCTGTGACTAAAGTGGTAGAGGGCTAGCCTTGAGCTGAAGAGCTGAGGGACAGCGCCCAGGCCCAGAGTTCAGTCCCCACGACCGGACCCCAAAGAAGTTGAAGATATAGATGGAAATGAAAAACTTAAAAAAAAATCTACTGACTCTTGGTGGACATCGGCAAACTTGCACAGTAGGAGTTTTCTAGTGCTTTTCCTCTTGTGGAAGTATGAACTGAACAGTGATCACAGAGAAGTATTTTCACAAGAGTTGGGAAACCAGGTGAGATATTGCAGCACCTGGATATGGCACAGAAATAAGGAAAGATGCATGGGCTGGGAAGGTGGCTCAGTGGTAGAGCGCTTGCCTTGCATGCCTGAGGCCCTGGGTTCGATTCCCCAGCACCACATAAGCAAAAAGAAAAAAAAGCCGGAAGTGGCGCTGTGGCTCAAGTGGTAGAGCGCTAGCCTTGAGCTGAAGAGCTGAGGGACAGCGCCCAGGCCCAGAGTTCAGGCCCCACGACTGGACTCCCCCCCCCCCAAAAAAAAAAGAAAAGAAATAAGGAAAGATGCATTTAAGAAGGTGGAAGACAAGAGATGGTTTTTCTATTACTTACACCTTCTCTCCCCTTCCTCTAATCCCAGGCCAGCCTGAGAGAGGGGGTGGGTGGGAGGGAGAGACAAAGAGAGAGGGGAAGAGGGAGAGGGGAAGAGAGAGGGAGAGAGAAATTAAAGAGGTTGATTCTACGTGCTTGAGACAGAGGGGAGGGGGAAGTGAACATTAAACTTTGCCTCAGATCCTAACACTGGGCCTATAGGCCAGTGAGACCCAGCACTAGCCAGGCCTGCCAGCAAGCCCTGTCCCAACATCAACCAGGACCTTGTGTCTCTAGACTCCAGGCTTACTACACTGCCAAACTGACCACAATGGCTTTGGGCACTGGACTAGCCTAAGTGGGCCCAAGTACTCAGCCCATCTTAGCTCCTGGTTAGCCCTTTCAAGCTGAAGCTCCAGGCCTGTTCTGTTACCAGGACAACTTGTGTAGGTAGGCCAGACATGTTACCATGGTTCCAGACTCTAGGCTTACCCCAAGTTCCAAACCAGCCTATTCAAGGATTCTAGCAGCAGGCCTATCCACAGACAGTGCCAAGTGGCTTGCCAGATCCAAATTGCTTGACTGGTGAAGTGGTTTCCCAGACAAAATCATTCTGAGAAATTCAGTCAGACTTATTTCAGTAAGTCCCTACTTTTCAGTGTGTAGACACCAACATTAAACAAGAGGAAATTTGAAAAAAACTAAAGAGACATAACACTAGTTGACAATTCAATTATTTCTACTTCTTGATGTTTGTGAATGGGTACATCTAAATAAGTTTATGTGGTAATATGTTTTTCTGGCCTTTTGTTTTCTTCATTGGGGTTTGAGCTCAGGGTTTTGTACTTGGTAGTTGGCATTCTACCACTTGAACCATGCCTCCAGCCCTGCTGTTTTGCTAGATGTTTATAAAATAGACTCTTGCTTCCTGCTCAGGTTTGTGCCTAAACCAAGGTCTGCCTAGAAAGTTTGTTGTGGCTGGGATTGTAGACGTGTACTACCATATCCAGTTTTCCTCTGTTATGATGGAGTCTTGTAGACTTTCTTGCCTGGGCTGACCTGGAATCAGATCTTCTGATCTTAGCATCCCACATAACTTGAGGTAGCCAAGGCTACTATGCTCAACAATTGATTGGGAAGGGATCTTTTGCTTACCATGTTTCTCTAGTTCTCAGACTCCCAAGTAGCTAGGACTACAGGTGTGAGCTACCAGTATCAAGATAATGATTTTATATTTTGTGAATACATATCACTAAGTGGGATAGTCATTTGGCCATGTAGTAGTTCTGTGATTAACATTTTAAGGAACTGCTGTTTTCCCAAGTGGTTGTACTAATTTATTTTCCCACAAGCGTTTGAGGATTCTAGTTTCCCCTACATGTACTGAAGAGATTCTAATTCCTCCAATGTGAAGAAATTCCATTTTGTATTTTTTTCTTTTCTTCTTCTTTTCTTTTTTTTTGTTGGTCACGGGGTTTGAACTCTGGGTTTGGGTGCTGTCCCTCAGCTCTTCAGCTCAAGGCTACCACTTGAGCCACAGAGCCACTTTCAGTTTTCTGGTTTATTGGAGATAAGAGTCTCATGGACTTTACTGCCTGGGCTGGCTTTGAACTATGATCCTCATATTTCAGCCTCCTGAGTAGCTAGGATTATGGGCGTGAGCCACTGGCACCCGGCCATTTTGTAGTTTTGTAGTTTTGTACAATAGAAACTATATTGTACTTATTACTGGTCTTGTTTACTATTAGAACTATACTGCTGGTGGGAAGTGGTACTTCATTGTGGCTTTGCTGCTTTGATCTACACTTCCCTGATGGATAATGATACTGAATATCATTTAATGCCATTATTGGCCATTTGTATATTTTCTTTGGAGGAAAGTCTTATGTAACAGTGTTATACTTTTTTTAATAGGAGAAGCTATTGAGGAGAACATCAAGCTATAAGCAGTGCGTTTCACTTTCTTTTTCATTGCAGAAAGAGTTATTTTATGTATTTCATGCGTGTATCCCTCCCTCAGCCCACTCAGAAGGCTCCTCCTCTACCACCTTCTCAGGACTCTTCCTTTTTCTTTTTTTGTGTGCTGGTTCTGGAGCTTGAACTCAGGGCTTGGGTGTTCCTGATCTTTTTTTGTTTTGTTTTGTTTTTTCTCGAGGCTAGTGGATTACCACTTGAGCCACAGCTGTACTTCTAGCTTTTTGGTGGTCAAGTCTCAAAGACTCTCTTGTCCATGCTGGCTTTGAGCTGTGATCTCATATCTTAGCCTCTTGAGTATCTAGGATTACATCCACCAGCACCCAGCCACAGGTGTCTTTCTTTTTTTGGGGGGGGGGGTCCGGTGTGGGGCCTGAACTCTGGGCCTGGGCGCTGTCCCTCAGCTCTTCAGCTCAAGGCTAGCGCTCTACCACTTGAGCCACAGCGCCACTTCTGGCTTTTTTTCTTTTTGTTTATGTGGTGCTGAGGAATCGAACCCAGGGCCTCATGCGTGCAAGGCAAGCGCTCTACCACTGAGCCACCTTCCCAGCCCAACAGGTATCTTTTTTATTTATTTATTATTGTGAAAACACTGTACAGAGGGGTTACAATTACATGGGCAAGATGAGTACATTTCTTATCAAGCATTGTAGCCTCCTCCTTTATTTCCCCTTCCCATCCCTTCCTCTCCCCGCTCCCCCACCCAAACCTCCCCCCCCACACCAAAGTTGTAAAGTTCAGTTTTCGACATAACGACTTGTACATCTCATTGTTGCAATGAGTCCACCTGTATCCCTATTTAAAATGATTTGTTTTTCCCCTTCCCTTCCACAAATTATACCGACGTGAAATACAGTGAAAGCAGGGGTTATACTGTGGGGGAGGGACATACAAAGCAACAAAGAAATAATCTTATAAATGTGTTAGAAACAATCGCATGAAAGAAAAAAAAACATTTGAATACATATCTTAGGGTTCATTTCCCTAACATCACCTTCTCTGGCCTTTTCTGCTTGCCAACAGGTGTCTTTCTTGATACCGTATTTAAAGAGGCATTCATCTTCTATCTCTCCTCTCTTAACGCTGTTTTATTTTTTACACAGTGTACATCCTTTCTCCTTGTCTTCTTTTCCCCCTCCTTTCTCCTTCCCCCCTTCCCTTTCTCTATCTTTTCTTTCTCTTCCTTTTCCCTCTTTTTTTCCTTCCTTTTCCTTCTCTTTTGTTTTGTGGCAGCATTGGGGTTTTGAACCCAGGACCTTATACTTGCTAGGCAGATGTTCTGCCACTTGAGCCACATCTACAGCCCTCACACAGTGCACTTACTACTGTTGGATATTATAAATGAGTTTTATTGATTTGCATTTTCTTCTGATAGATGGTAAGCTCATTTGAGAGTGAAGATCTTTGTTCACTTAGCATACTAGTTGGGCCTCTCAGTATGTACTGCTTGAAAGAGTGAATGAATGAATGTATGAAAGGAATAGGCACTGGAGTCCACCACCCATTAGTTATATAGTCTTGGGCAATTAACTTTTCTCAGGTTTGACCTCTTCATTTGTAAAACATAATGGTAAGAGTACCTGTGAGTATTAAATTATGTGGTGCATGTAAACTACTAAACATGGCTGTACTCTAAAGAAGACAGAGATCATCTGTTTTATCTCTCACCCTTCTTTGAGTATGTTTAACTATATGTTGGTAAGGAGTTTGTATTTGCCTTTTGAAGGACTCAAGTGAACCACAATTTTCCTCTTTTTTCTTTCCTTCCTTTCCTTTTTCTTTTTCCCAGGGGATGCAGAGGGCAACTAATGTCACCTATCAAGCCCACCATGTCAGCAGGAACAAAAGAGGTCAGGTGGTAGGGACCAGAGGTGGCTTTCGTGGTTGCACAGTTTGGCTAACAGGTAAGGTCAAGAGAGGAAAAAAAAAACAACGAAAATTACCCCTAAAGTTCCCCAAACAAAACAAACAAAAAACCAAAAACAAACCCAATATTTGTAAGCACATTTAAATATGAACTTTCTTCTTGCAAGGACAATACATAATTAATATACTGTAATTACAGTACAGTTAGATGTAATTCTTGTTGTTCTTATAGGAATAATATTAAATGAAGTAGAAGGGAAAGGCCAGAATTCATTTTAAAGCTACCAGTTAGTAGTTACTGCATTAAATTCTCTAAACTTTTGAGTGCAAATAAGACCCAGACTTTTGGGCTGGGAAGGTGGCTCAGTGGTAGAGCGCTTGCCTTGCATGCATGAGGCCCTGGATTCGATTCCCTAGCACCACATAAGCAAAAAGAAAAGAAGCTGGAAGTGGTACTGTGGCTCCAGTGGTAGAGCACTAGCCTTGAGCTGAAGAGCTGAGGGACAGCGCCCAGGCCCAGAGTTCAGGCTCCACGACCGGACCCCTCCTCCCCCCCCCCAAAAAAAGACCCAGACTCTGTTTCAAGATGCTAACAGTGTAAACTATTTGAAGAGAAAGAATGAGGGATAGGAAGTTCATAGAATCAGTGTGTATCTTTCAGCTTTTGCTTTAGTCTCTCTGATTTTTTTCCTGTGTTGGTTTTTCTAAACATCTCCCTTTGGGCTTAGCTGTGGCAGGATGATAAGAAGATAAATTGATTCCAGTTTTTGAAGTAGCTTAGAAATGATGAATCCTTTCACATGTAAGAATTGTATTTAAAACTGTAGTAGATCTTGATACACTTCCTACTAAAATTGTATCCAGTTTACCACACAGTGTGGGAGAGAGTCCCCTTTCCAGTGTCTGTGTCAGCTCTGGATTTATTAGTCCTGGAAACTTTGTTTGATGGTCAGAAATTTTTTTCTTAAGTTGCATGTTTCACTTCCATAGCAGTCTCACATTCTCCTTACCTTTCCTTCTTAAGTCTTACCTAAATTGTTAAATTGTTGCTTTTTTATTGTTCAGGTTTGTAACGCTTATATGCATTCTCTTGTAACAAATCTCTCTCTACCTTTTAGTTAGATAACTAACTTGATTCAATATTCAGTAGCCACAGCCAGTTCTTTTATTAGGGCTTGGTAACTAAGGATCCCTTAATTAGAATAAAGATATAAGAGCTTGCATTTCCTTGGTAAATAGTCTTCAAGATGATCCTCTGTTAGGATCTGAATTCTCTCAGTTTTTATATTTTATAACCTCTGGTTATCTTTTGCACAGCTTGACTGGGTGACATACTTTCTCTGTCTTGGAATTTTTAATACAGTATTTCATTTTCTTTTGGGATTTAATGTGGTTATGAAGTAGTATGAGGCTAGTTAGATTTTTCTATTCTCTTTAGACACTTTGTTTTTCCATTTGATGCCTGAGTATTCTTTTTTTCTCTACTTTAGAAGTTTTGCCTTTCTCATTGATGCTATCACCTGTAGTTGATTTTTGTCTGTGGTATGGAGTTATCTATTATCTGTTATCTACCTGCTGCCATCTAGATGGATCAGTTCTCTCAAATGTATGTATTGATTAGAGTATCCTTTCTTTGATATATAGTGTCAGCTGTTGTATATCAGGTCTCCACATGTATGTGGGTTTGTTGTGGGGGTCTTATCTGTTCAGTGATAGATTTGCCTTAACTGATACTTCTTTCTATAAGTCTTGAGATGGCTGACACCATAAGCTGAAGCACATACTTATCATCTCTCTGGCATTGTGGCCTCAGAGAATTTAGTAGCTGTCATCTCCCAAATAAAAGGACTACAGGGAAGCCCCATAGCTTTCCAGTCCTGCAAGTTACACATCACTATTTCATTACTTTTTGGGGGGGCTATAGCTTTCATTCAGTTAGCCCAGATTCAAGAGTGGGGTTTTAGATTGTGTTTTTTTCTTCTCTCTCTTTCTCTCTCTCTTTCCTTCCTTCCTTCCTTCTCTCTCTCTCTCTCTCTCTCTCTCTCTCTCTCTCTCTCTTCTTGTGAATATTGAACCCACGGCCTTATACTTACTAGGCAAGTGATCTAATACTTGGGCGATGTCACCAGAAAATGAGTCACATTGTTGAAGAGTTCATAGAAGTAGATATTTGGCTCTAAGCATCTTTGGGAAGTACAATCCATTAAATAAATATGTACTGTGTACAGCAGCTGCTATTCTACTCTCAATGTACCCATCTTCTATATTTCGTCTTCAGTTAGCCTTCTTTGCTACCTTGACTTCTTTAAGAGCATTGATACAGGAAGCTTTAGTATTTTGTCTCTTACCTTGTAACTTCTGTGGCCATAAATTCTCCTAAGAACTCAATAAGCTGGCAAAGCATTAGTGCACGCATCAGCTCTTCCCTATTTGTTGTTGTTTAATGAATAATCACCACTGGTATAGGAGTGTGGAAATGAGGATGTTCTTTTAAGGTTATAGCATTATAAATGGGTCCTTTTATCATGGTGGTCTGTGAGGGGGTGACTGTCTTGGAATAAGGAAGTAACTCCATAATTTCATTTACTTTTATCCTTTGTTTCTCTCCCTTCATTAAATATAATTTGAGTATTAATAAAAATTGGTATGTAGCTTTAGAATAATGTTAATAAGACAACCAAGTGAATGTCTGATAGTAAGACCCCTTTTGAAGTTTTACAGTGAGGGCTAGGATACCTTTGGGCATGAATATCAATAAGTTATTATATATAAACTTTAGATAGTTTTCATATATAATAATATGAATATAATGAGTATGATGGAGCTTGTTATATTAAGTCTTCATTACTAAATAGCTGTCTTTCTAACTTTCCACATGGACACTGTCTGGCTGTTTAATGTAGGCTTGTCTGGGGCGGGGAAGACTACCGTGAGCATGGCCCTGGAAGAGTACTTGGTTTGCCATGGCATTCCATGCTACACTTTGGATGGTGACAATATTCGTCAAGGTCTCAATAAAAATCTTGGCTTTAGTCCTGAAGACAGAGAAGAGAACGTTCGGCGCATTGCAGAAGTTGCTAAGCTCTTTGCAGATGCTGGCTTAGTGTGTATCACAAGTTTTATATCACCTTACACTCAGGTATGTGTTTGGGACAATCTGTTCTGATTTCATTGATCAAAAATGCAGTAGTAAGCAAAGCACATAATATGACATGAGTGTGTGGCTAAATCCTTTTCCCCCACATATATCCAAATAACCTGAAACTTATGTGTTGTTATGTGTGTGTGTGTGTGTGTGTGTGTGTGTGTGTGTGTGCCAGTATTGGCTAATGTTATACCAGTTGAGCCATCCCTCTAATTCCAGCTTTTTGCTGTTTAATTGGAGATAAGAGTCTCATAGATTTGTCTACTTGGGCTGGTTCTGAACTTTAACCCCTCAGATCTCAGCCTCCTGAGTAGCTAGGATTATAAACATGTGCCACAGGTGCCTGGTTATGCTGTAATTTTTAAAGTAAATCCAGTTTTGCTAAAACCTGCTGTAAAGGAATTCAAAAGATAGGCAAGTTGTTGAATTCAAGTCAATGCCAGCCTGACTTTTCAGTTCAGTCAACCTAGTGGGAATATTTGGCAGGTGTCAGACACCAGGGAAAGTCCAAATGTCTTTCAGGACTTCTTCCCTCATAGTTTTTTTTTTTTCCCCCTGTCCTAAGGCTTGAACTCAGGGCCTGAGCACTGTCCCTGAGGTTGTTTTTGCTCAAGGCTAGCACTTTAACACTTGAGCCACAGTGCCATTTCTAGCTTTTTGTGTTTATGTGGCAGTGGGGAATTGAACCCAGGCCTTTGTGCATGCTAGGCAAGAACTCTACCATTAAGCCGTATTCCCAGCCCCTCATAGTTCTTTGATCAGCTCTTATCAATGCTTTCTCTTATTTTAAAGACCACAGCAATATCAGATCACTTTTTGTATTTCTCTGAAGAAAGTCATGTGGATTTTTAACACAGGATTTGTTTCTCCTCTGCTAAGAAGGCACCCTGCTTCCTTCTGCCCTTCCCTTCTCAGCATCCGTTTACTTCTGTTTATGTTTTTGTATGTACTCTGTTGAGGTTACGGATTTCTCCTCTTGAATAGCTCCCCTCCTCCCTCAGGCTGTGTGGTCCTTCTCTTTTTGTACCTTGACACACCATTTTATAAGACCCCAACTTGTTGGTGCTTCTCATACTAGCAGTGATACCTAACAATGTAATTAATATCTATCATTTATCCAACGTTATGTACTGGTAAGTGTGGTGAAGAGCTCTTCACGTGAATTGATGCCTGATTCCCATCCTGCAGTATGAAAGGTAGATGGGAGGAGAGTAAGACGTTCATTGTTCAGTCGCAAATCCTCACATGAGTGACTTGTTCCCACGTATACGTGGTTGACTCATATGAGAACTTGTACTCAGGCACTGTCTTTATGACCACACTTTATCCATTGTGCTGCGCTGCCTTCAGATCTCAGTTTTTTCTATATTATCATTCTGTCTTATTTATCTTTGTAATCTAGATACCACTCCAGTTCCTGGCAGTGGTTGGTGTCTGTTAAACAACTGACTATTTTGTAAGGAAGCTCATATATCAAACACACAGTGGTTCAAGTAGAGGTTTTGGAGCTGGACACAAATAGGCTAAGTTGTCAGCTCTGGCTTAGCTTCCTCAGCTCAGGTGATTTCTACCTTACAGGGCTGCTCTGAGAAGTTGAGTTATCTTTGCAAAGCCAAGCACAGGATCTATTTTGTGATAAGTATTTAATATTACAATAAATAATAGCACATTTCTAGCACAGTAGCAGACACATTTTGATGGTTATAGAGATGTCATTTTTAAAATAAAAATTGAACTGGGCACTTCTGGCTCATGCCTGTAATCCTAGCTACTCCGGAGTCTGAGATCTGAAGATTATGGCTCAAAGCCAGCCCAGGTAGGAAAGTCTATGAGACTTAATCTCCAGGTAACCACCAAAAAGCTAGAAGTAGAGCTGTGGCTCTAATTGATAGAATGCTAGCCTTAAGCACAAAAGCTTAAGTATAGCCCTCAGGCCCTGAATTCAAGCCCCAAGACTGGCACAGAAACAAACTATAATAACAACAATAATAATTGTCCTGGAGCTAAAAATAACTTATACAAGTTCATTTAATTGAACCAAAGCAGTAGTCCTACAAAGTTTCCTGGAGACTACTTTTTGTTTTCTTGAAACCTTGGGATCAGTGTCAATATATTATCAGTTTAAAGTGTAACAAAGGAAATAAATAAGCAGAATGAGAGTTGTTTAGGTTCCTGAATCCCTGGATGTGAATGTGTTGCAAGGTAACATAACAGTGATGTTCTTGTACCTTCTGGGCATTCATGTGGGGCTCAGAAAGTGGAAGTCACTAAGGCCTTATTTGGAGATATGTCAGATGGGTCTTGGGTATCTAAAAGTACACAATGATCTGCCGTTTGGCATTCCTTGTTTTCATAGTGTGGAACTGCATCTGTAAAAGGCCTAAGCATGAGGTTTGGACTGTAATTAGGGCTTGCTGAAATCCTTGATAAAGTCTGCATTGAACCAGTTAATACAGGGCATGCAGAAGTGCACCTAAGGTGAGCAGAGGGCTCTGACAAAGCTGAAGTGACACCAGTATTATGAACTGGGTCAAGTAGGGGGAGCAGGAATGATGTGAAGTCACATTAGAGGAGTCTGTGGGGATAATGCTGTGAAACACAGCAGGAATTCTAGACTTTTAAGCACTGAAAGATACCTATGGTAAAGGGAAGCTTAAAAAAATAACATTAGGGGTGTGTGTGTGTGTGTGTGTGTGTGTGTGTGTGTGTATGTGTGTGTTTGAGTGTGTTTGAGATAGGTACTTGCTATGTAGTCCAGGCTACCCTTTCTGCTTCTGCTCTCTGAGTTCTGGGATTACTGGTATGCACCACATTATTAGTTGAATTCATTTGTTTTGAGTGGAGGAGCATGACTTGATATTTTCAGGAGCAAGAGCCAGTGGAAAGGGATAAGGCTGAACATTTCAGATGAAGTGGAGAGAAGGGGTTGAATGAGGTCCTGTAGGAAGCCTGGAGAGGGCTTGTGATTTAGATGATGTGAAAGATCGAGTGGCACAGAGAGTGAGATTCTTCGTCTGCAGATAGAATTTGCATGGAGTTGACTGAGAGCTTTCATGCCTGGGGATTTTTCTCTTTTGAAATAGGAAGAATGGTAAGTAGGCATGGTTTGTCAGGGCGTCTATGAGGAAGGTGGCCGAAGCTAACCTGAACTCCATTGGAAACAAGAATAGGGGACGTAGGCACAGACCAGCTTTGAAAAATACTGGCTGTGCTTTGGTGTAGAGAGTATGGAGGAACAGCTTGCATTTGAGAACAGCAAGGTGAGTGATATCCTCTGGGCTGAACTAGTAGAGACCAGAAGAGGGGGTTGACTTTCAAAGGAGAGTGGGTCTCGGGATGGGGGTGGAGGTATTTTAGACAAAGTGATGAAGAGTTAGATTTAAGAGTTGTGCAGGAAAATTAAGTTTGGGTTGTGCTAGATAGGAGACATGGCTATGGGGGCTTGTATGTGGCAAGGAAATAAACTAGGATTGTGTGTGTGTGTTTGTGTGTGTGTGTGTGTGTGTGGTTGTGTGAAGTTGCTTTTTTTCTTTTCTTTTTTCTCTTTGTTTTTTATTGTAAAGATACTGTACAGAGGGGTTAGAGTTACATGAGTAAGGTAATGAGTATATTTCCTATTGAGCATTGTTTCCTCCTCCTTTGTTTTTCTCCTACTATCCCTTTCCTCCCCACCTCCCCAATGAAGTTGCTTTTATGCCAGCTGAGTCTGAACATCGTATTGAAGAGAGGCCAGATGTCATTTGCATTCTAGCTGAACCTTGGCTCAGGTTTCCATAGAATTTAGGTGAAAATGCTGGATATGGCAGCACATACCTGTAATCCCAGTCACTCTGGAAGTGGAAATAACCAAGATTGTGGTTGGAGACCATTTGGGGCAAAAAAACAAGACCCCATTATAGCAGCTGGACCATGTATGGTAGACAGGTCTGTAATCTCAACAAGGTGGGAGGCACAGGTAGAAGAATCATAGTCTGAAGCTGAGCACAAAGCCACAAGGCCCTGTTGGAAAATTACTAAAGCAAAAGGGGCTGATGACATGGCTCAAGTGCTAGAGCACCTGCAAGTCGGACGCTCTGTGTTCATACTCTAGTACTGTCCAGAGAAGGAAAAAAGAAGGAAAGAATTTAGCTGATAGTTTTCATGGCACAGCCACTGTTTCATGTTTACTTTATTCAGCATTATGCCTGTTAAACTTATTATGAAGAGTGATTATTATTAACATCTTGGATTTCTTTATTCATTTCAATTTATTTTTAAAATATAAATTAACTTTTAGCTTGGTATGTTTTCACTATCAGCGGTACAGTCTTCTTTTCTTAGATATGAATGTGGCGGTTCCAGTTTGTGCGATCACATTTTTACTGTTTTTCTTTTTCTTTTGTTTCTATTCAAATCTCCTCTTTTTCAGGATCGCAACAATGCAAGGCAAATCCACGAAGGTGCAAGTCTACCTTTCTTTGAAGTGTTTGTTGATGCTCCTCTGCATGTTTGTGAACAGAGAGATGTCAAGGGACTCTACAAAAAGGCCCGAGCAGGAGAAATTAAAGGCAAGCAATAATTTCTTCCTAGTTTTCTCTGTGTTTTAGTAAGACATTTGAGATTTTGGCTCAGGTTTGTACTCTATGACTTCAGTCACAGCTGACTTTTTGGTCAGCTTAAGGGTCTCACAGACTTTCCTTCCCCAACTGGCTTCAAAGTGGGATCCTCACATCTCAGCCTTCTGAGTAGTTAGAATTATAGTTGTGAGCCACCTGCACCCTGCTGATGTTTGGTCTTTTTGCGTACAGGGCAGACTTATCTTTTCTAGAGATTGGAAGTGTTTACATGACACTTGAGAGACAATGGATGTTATTACAGTGTTCTCTTAGGCTCAGTGTTATTGGTTATATTGGGACCTTGCTTATAAATCAGAGTGGGGCCCGTAAGAGATAGTGAAATCCTTCCTGGTATTAGGTAGTTTCTAGCATTGGATTAACAGCTATTAGCGCCTTTACAATCTTTATTGTCATGAAAGTATAGGAAGTCCCATAATGATTAGGAAAAATACCTAAACTATAAGCTGACAAGGATAAGGTTCTTTCCTTATTTATATCATAGCATTTGGGATGGGCCTCTAATTCTTCTGTGTGGGACTGTGAATCAATATATTACAGATTCCCTCCTCCTTCGGTTTTAATGGTGCACTTGCCGAGTATCAACCGTGATGAATACAAGACATTGAAGGAGAAATTTAGCTCTGTTACTTATTTACTGGAAGCAGAGAGCATGCTGACATTTAAAGATTCAAGACAGATCACTCAGTGAGCACTGTTTAGGGATGATTGATTCATGAAGATCACTTTTCTTAAACTTCCCACCAGGGGGTAAGATGGCCTGTGACCATCTGAGCAGGCCCTGGGTACTCTGTGCATTCCATTTCTAGCCCTGAAAGTGCTTGTTAATCTGGGTTCTTCTGTGATTAGATCTGGGAGCACTTCAGCAGTTGAGGCGTGTTCTTTCTGTGTTGACGTGTAGGTTTGTGGGCGAGACTGATGTCCTTCCATGCCGCCTTGAGGTTCAGCTCTTGTAGTTCCTTTCCCCCAACAGGCTGGCACTTGGAAAGAACAGACTCTCCGACTGGAACAGTTTAAGACAGAGGGAGAGAGATGGATTATGGTGATCATGATGGTGACTTTCCATTGCAGGGTTTTGTTTTTTTGTTTTTTGTTTTGTAAACAACTGGCACAGAGAAGCATATGGTATGTTCAGGGTCCTCACATTAAGACTTTTCACTTACTTTAGTGTTATGATCCTTTTTGTAAGTGTGTATTGGTAAGGTTGGGTAGATTTATCTTGCTAGCTGGAATAAGCTAACTTGAGCGTATGGACACAATATTGAACATTTTTGTATCTTGAAAATTTAGTCACTGTAGAAGGTGTTAATGGCTCACACCTGTAATCTTAAGTACCTAGGAGGTGGGTTGGGAAGGTGGCTCAGTGGTACAGTGCTTGCCTTGCATGCATGAGGCCCTGGGTTCGATTCCTCAGCACCACATAAGCAAAAAGAAAAAAACCAGAAGTGGCGCTGTGGCTCACGTGGTAGAGTGCTAGCCTTGAGCTGAAGAGCTGAGGGACAGCGTACAGGCCCAGAGTTCAGGCCTCACGACTGGACCAAAAAAAAAAACCAAACAAACAAAGTACCTAGGAGGCTGAGATCTGAGGACGGTGGTGTGAAGCTAGACCTGGAAGGAAAGCACATGAGACTCTTAATTAATTACCCTCCCCAAAGCCAGAAGTGGACTTCTGACTCAAGTGGTAGGACACTAGTTTTGAACAAAAAGAAGCACAGGGACAGCACGTAGGCCCTGAGTTCAAGCCCTAGGACAGGCCCTAAAACAAAACAAACTACTTAGCCACAGTATGGCCCAAAGCATACCTATCACTGACATAGTAAATGCTCATTGGACAGATGAAAAGGGAGGCAGGAGAAAGGATGTTAAGCACATATAGCAGGGATTTTTTTTATTAGCAAGGTATTATTTGGGGATAAGAGGCAGAGATGGATAAGACCAAATCCAAAAGATCTCTGAGTCACTCTGGTTTGTATCCTGTTGCTGGGAGCAGGTTTATGTTTGTCTACTCTCCTTTTACTTTTCCAAGTGTTGGGTATATTCCTCAGAATACACATTGATACCTTGCTATTAAGGAGTGTATGTGTGTGTGGGGGGTGTGCACATGTGTGTGCTTATTCTCACATATTGGTTTACTTGGAAAATTAATAAATGAAACCAATACATGAGAATAGACTATAGTGTTATTTGTTTTGTTATTTATTCGTGAATTGTTGAGATAGGTTTTATCAAGTAGTCCAGGCTAGCTTCAAACTCAGGATCATCTTGTCGTTGCCTTCTGAGAACTAGAATTACAAGTATGTGTTGCCTATTAGAGTTGTTTACTTCAAAAAATCATTTATACCTGGGTGCTGGTGATTCATGACTGTAATCCTAGTTAGTATTCAGGAAGCTGACATCTGAGGATTGCAGTTTGAAGCCAGCGTGGGTAGGAAAGTCCACAAGATTGTTATCTCCAATTAACTTCTGAAAAGACAGAAATGGAGCTATGGCTCAAGTGGCAGAATGCTAGCCTTGAGCAAAAAAGTTCAGCACCCAGGCCCTGAGCTCAAGTCTCAGGAGCAGCGCGCGCGCGCGCACACACACACACACACACACACACACACACACACTAATTTACTTGTCAGAATGGTGTTTAACAAGTCTTCATAAAATGCTGTGGTGGCAGCCACTTAAGAATAGAAAGGCGGGCTGGGAATGTGGCTTAGTGGTAGGGTGCTTGTCTAGTATGCATGAAGCCCTGGGTTCAATTCCTCACTACCACATAAACAGAAAAAGCTCAAAGTGGTGCTGTGGCTCAAGTTGTAGAGTGCTAGCCTTGAGCAGAAGAAGCTCAGGGACAGTGCTCAGGCTCTGAGTTCAAGCCCCAGGACTGGCAAAAAAAAAAAAAAAGGACAGGATTACATAGATTATTGGACCTCTAGGTTTTATAGACCTGCATATACCATTTACTGGACAGTATAAACGTACGCTATTCTAATATCATGATTACTGCTCAAGTAGTTATAATTATATACTTGAATATAAGTGTTTTTTTTCTCACAGCATGCATTTGTCATAATTACCTGTGGGATTACTTGGCTAGGAGGAGAAGTTGTGGATTTCTGTAATGTTAAAGCCAGCTCTTCTAATCAAGGGCTTCTCTGGCTCTGAGATATATTGATGTTGCCTTGGGAACTTGTGTAATTCAGTGACCAAGCTCTGTCTGAGACTGGTGGAATTGTGAGAGTGGGACCTGGCCATTGCAGTGTATAGCTTGGGCTGGGAAGGTGGCTCAGTGGTAGAGCACTTGCCTTGCATTGTTTAGCTACACAGCTGCTCGGCTGGTGTTCTAACTAGACATTTCTTCCCAGTTATTGTTTTCTGTATATTTGTGAGCACAACCAGGAATCTTGGTAATGCAGTTTTTTTTAAAGTTTGCTTTCAGAACTTCAATGGTGCTTAGAAATCTGAAATAGAAAAAAAAATGAAGTAAGTATCTGTTTTTGAACTCTTTTGTTATTGGTGCCTAACAACAGTGGTTTTGAATTTTTGTTGAGCGTTCTTACCTAAGAGTGACCTAGGCTCTTTAAGGCAGACAGGCATTGAATAACTAATGCTGGTGTGTTGTTGGTGAGGGGAGTCAGACAGGAATAACCTATCTTGGCTCAGTGAGCCCATTTTGTTCGTTCCTTTCTCAATGATTACATGGTAATATGTAGTTGGGAAATTCTAAAGAGAGGCTAATACTTACATTGGTCACATCCAATTGTGGAATCTATTTGGTGATGTAGTAGCCTCTTATTTATGATTTAAGTAATAGTACTGTTAAATTGTCTTGATTCAGCATGGCTTACATGATCACAGAAACCTGCAGAGCTTTGGTTTGGCCACAGATATAGTCCTTGTGAGTATAATGGACAGATTGACTTAAGCTTTTATAGACCTGCGTATCAGTTTCTCCACTGAACCTTGTCAGGTTTGATTGTATGCACAGGGCTTAGGTCTAGGCCTGTATTCCTGTGGAATTCATTCCACTGGTATTCATTCCTTATGTCACTAACAATTTAGGCATTGAATTGGTTGGTTGACCAACATGTTGTGGCCAGAGTCTGGCAGGAATCTAACCTTGTGACTTGCTGAAGAGCAATGATTCAGTGTTCACTGATTTAGTTTTGTGGCAACTTTATTGGCTGTCCCTACAGTGAGTAGTGAGAACTGTCTGTGTGTGCTTAAAGAAGAAATACAAGTTTAATTGAAATCATCTCCTAAGAAAGAAGTGTCACTTTCATAACGCTGTAGCTGAGAAGGGAGCACAGATGGTAATTTCAACATGGATTTGCACTGAAGAAATGTTAATCTCCCTCCCCTCTCCCAATATCATCTGGTACTTTCTAAAGGTTTCACTGGGATTGATTCTGAATATGAAAAGCCTGAAGCCCCTGAGTTGGTGCTGAAGACAGATTCCTGTGATGTAAATGATTGTGTCCAGCAAGTTGTGGAGCTTCTACAGGAACGGGTAAGGGAATGCAAAAGAAACTAATCAGAGGGGCTGGGAAGTTGGCTCAGTGGTAGAGCGCTTGCCTTGCATGCCTGAGGCCCTGGGTTCGATTCTCAGCACCACATAAGCAAAAAGCCAGAAGTGGCGCTGTGGCTCAAGTGGTAGAGCGCTAGCCTTGAGCTGAAGAGCTGAGGGACAGTGCCCAGGCCCAGAGTTCAGGGACCCAAAAAAAAAAAAAAAAAAAGAAACTAATCAGAGAAGAATTATAAACATCTTATTACCACCCCTCCAAAAAAAAGATAGTATTACTATTGAGTAATACAAGTACTTTAAATTCTTTATCATAGCAAGAGTTTCCTGTAGGTGTCACTGTGTTATGGGCTATGTTAAACATAGACAACCTGTGAAATATCAGTGAACATTAAGTTCAGTAAGTTGGCGGTCGTGAGGGTGAGGGGTGTTGTCAAAAAGTCTTTTATTTCGTGAGTAATTTTGCCACAAATATGCCTAATAGAAGTCCAGTCATGATTATACTAGTATATTATTACCATTATATTATGAATTTAAAAAGGTTTTATGTTGGTGGTACTGGGGTTTGAACTCAGGGCCTGTGCTAGCTAGACAAGTGCTCTATCATTTGAGCCACACCCCTAGCCATCTGTGTTTTTGAGGTTATTTTCCCAGATAGGGTCTCAGTTTTTGCCTAAGCTAGTCTGGAACTACAATCCTCCTACCTATACCTCTGGCATAACAGTGATTATAGGCTTGAGCCGTTGAACACAGCACATATCATGACTTTCTATTGTATGGAAGAGGGTAATATGGCCTGGAACTTATCAGAGAATGATAGTGCTATATCCATGGATATAATTGTGGCAAGTAGAGTTTTCTTTCTTTGATACTCAGTGTTACTTTGAAGAGATTCTTCTGAAATGGATTCTACCTGGAGTTCTTTATTTAATGTCGTTTAGTAAGAAAGATAAAGTATTCCTCTGTCCATGAAAAACATGTTTTCAGCATGCTGTACAGTAGGTGTTTCAGGGCAGTGAGTTCTTTGGTTACCAAGGGAACTTTGTTTTACTGTCATATCTTGATGGTCTTGAGGAGCTTCATTCTCTCTCCCTTGCTCGCTCTTTCTTTATATGTGTGATATGTGTGTGTGTGTGTGTGTGTGTGTGTGTGTGTGTGTGTGTGTGTGTGTGTACAGAGAGAGAGATAGTATTGGGGTTTCACACTTAGTAGACAGGCACTCTGCCACTTAATCCCTGTACTCAGCCCATTCATTTTTTTCACACATTTCAGTCGGCATGCATTTATTGAAGAATGTAGAAGACACTGGTGGCTGGTAGTTCACACCTGCAATCTTAGCTATTCAGGAGGCTGAGATTTGTGGATTGGAGTTTGAAACCAGCCTGGGCAAGAAAGTCCTTAAGCACCAACCCCTCCAAACAACAACAACAACAACAACAACAACACCTGGAAGTGAAGCTGGGTGTCAGTGTCTCATGCCTGTAATCCTAGCTACTTGGAGACTGAGATCTAAGGATTGCAGTTCAAAGCCCAGGAAAGAAAGTCTAGGAGACTCTTATCTCCAGTTAATCACCAGAAAACTTGAAGTGGCACTATGGCTCAAGGTAGTAGAGTGCTAGCCTTGAGCAAAAGAGATCAGGGTCAGTGCTCACAACCCAAGTTCAAGCCCCACAACTGACAAAAACAAACCAAAAAAACCCAAACTGGATATGAATTTGTGGCTCAAGTGATAGAATGCTAGCCTTGACAGCATTCAGTCCCTGAGTTCAAGCCTCATAACCAACAAAGACAAAAAACAAAATAAAACAACAAAAAAAAGAATGTAGAAGACACTAACAAATAGCCAGTATATTTGGTGTAAAAATTTCCCCTAACCCTTGATTGGTCACTAGATGGCCTTCTAGGATTGCATTTTAACTCAGTTTGTTATGACATAAGGAAGTAGGCTTCTTGCTGGTTTTAATCTAAAGTGATATTTTAAATATTGGTTTTTAATCTTACCAGGAATCTAGATTTACTAGTGCTATAAATTATTTAAAAGTTTGTCTTTTTTTTTTTTTTTTAAAAACAACAACAAAATGGTTTTAGTGCTCTAAATGGATTTTATACTACATAAAAACCAGACTTTGTAGCTCAGTTTTAAAGTGTTGCCAGAATCTCATTTGTGTTCATGCTCTGGATGCATGTAGTTTAGATAATAGAAATGCAACAGTTGCATGAAAATATGAACGAGCCCTAGCATTCAAACCTGCTGAGCAGATTTGGCTGTAGAGAAAAGGTGCAGGGAATAACTTACAGGAAAACTTACAACTTTGGAATCACTGTGGTTTTGCCCCCATGTTAGGTTGGAGTTCTTAGGAAGAGTTCAATATGACAAGAGTTTTTGTTTTCTTGTAGTGAATGTTGCTTGTGCTGGCTGCGTTTCCAGGTGAAAGCAATTACCTGAGCTAAGGCTATAGGTTCGGACTAGGTTAGATCTTAGATGATGTACAATCATTAAAAAAAAAGTACACATGTTACATTTTAAAGCTAATATTTAAAACTCATAATATTTAAATAGTCTGGACTTAACACATTTAGAATTTACCCCTCACCGATGGTGGGAGTTAAGTTGTTTACGGATCCCTGCTCAGGACTGCTAAGAGCATCCCTTAAGCCCCTGATAGTCTTCCGTGTTAGGACTATAGCCTTTGAGATGGTCGGAGTATTAATATAGATTATTTTTTCTGGCCTGGTTTTTTTTGGTTTGCAATTTGCTGAAATAAAGGTTTTATATGGAAAAGATGAAGAAAAACATATTGTTGTTTCTAATAGCCAAGTGGAATGAATAGCTCATGTGTCAGGGCTTGGCATTCTGTTTGTCCAGATACTATGTCTCACTTTGAGGTGCTTTTGCTCCTTGTGGATGTTTAGTGCTTGTTTTGGAAAACTGAGATTTGTTGTAGAATATACTGGAAACTTGCTGCATTTGCATTTTTAAGATTCCTTTGGCATTCCTGCTTGAGTTATTTCTTTTGTCTATATGCATAGAATCTGTGTAGAACTCACTTCCACTGAGCAGAAACTGTGTGTCCCTTGATTTGTCGTTATGTTTGCATTCACCCCAGAAATACTTTATCATTCTAGAAGAGCAAAACTTTATCTTTCTAGGAGAGCAAAACAGTAGCAGACTCCTGAGTTTTTGTTTTAGTGTTGGTTAGGTACTGGGAAAATTTTGTGTCTATGATATGAGGCTAAAATTTCCTTAATATATTGCTAGACAGGAAATCTAAAAAGGGGAGAATGTGAGCTGTTTCTAAGAGGAAAAAACATACTTTAATTCAAAAACAAAATACAAAAAAGGTTTCTTCTCTATCTTGAAAAGAAAGTAGTTACTTTGTAGGTAAAGCAGGATTTAACTAAAAATGTCTTCATTCTGGAGCATGATATTTGTGCATAAACCACCTAAAATAATTTGGTTATGTTTGTAATACTACATTACCCTTTTTGTTTTCAAGAGACACTTAGATTTGTTCATAAGTTATTTGTATATGTGTGTTATAACAGTGCGGTTGGAAGGCAACTGTAGGCATCATCTAGAGAAACGTTTGTTACTTTGCTGTTTTTGTTTGGATGTCTGCAAGGGAAGTGGAGTCAGGGACCTGTGAGCCCATTGCTTTTTTGTGGCCAACTCCTGGCAGAGCTCATCACAGCCCCAGCTTTGTGCCTTGTGCATCACAGTGGTCTGGGCAGAAGTTAAGCTTCAGTTCAAACCTTGATGGTGGAAGTAAAATTGAGATAGGCTGGAATATTGTATGTGTAAAAATGTGAGTGACGTTAGTGTCATAGTGATAAAGGAACATACAAAAACTGGAAACAATTAGGTTTCCTGAAGTTTTGATTTTGAGTTAGTTTTGTTACATTTTATTTGAGGTCACTTCTTTTTTTATGAATATAGTCTATCTTTTTTTTGTACATTTTTATTGTAAAAATGCTGTACAGAGGGGTTACAGTTACACGAGTAAGGTAACTTCTTTTCCGTTTTTAATATGAAATGGTCTTCTTTGTCTCTTCTTACTAATTTTGATTAGAGATCTACTTTATTAGATATGAGAATAGCTACTTCTGCCTGCTATTTGCCTGGAAGATTTTGTTCTACTCTTTCTTCTCAAGCCAATATTTGTTTTTGTTGGTAAGATACTTTTTTTTTTTTTCAGGCAACAATGATCAGCTCTTACTTTTTTTTTTTTTTTTTGGCCAGTCCTGGGGCTTGAACTCAGGGCCTGGGCACTGTCCCCAAGCTTCTTTTGTTCAAGGCTAACATGCTACCACTTGAGTCACAGTGCCACTTGTGGCTTTTTCTGTGCATGGGTACTGAGGAATTGAACCCAGAGCTTCATGCATGCTAGGCAAGCACTCTACCAGCCCTCAGCTCTTACTTTTTAATTGAACTCCCAATTCCATGTATTTTGGTGGGGGAATTGTGACCATTATTATTCAGTGATAATATTGAAAAGTGTGGGCTAGAAGGTGGCTCAGTGGTAGAGCGCTTGCCTTGCATGTATGAGGCCCTGGGTTCGATTCCTCAGCACCACATAAGCAGAAAAAAAAAGCGGGAAGTGGCACTGTGACTCAAGTGGTAGAGTGGTAGAGTGCCAGCCTTGAGCTGAAGAGCAGAGGGACAGCGCCCAGGTCCAGAGTTCAGGCCCCACGACTGGACCCCCCCCCCCCCAAAAAAAAAAAAAAGAAAAGAAAAGTGTGCGATGTCTACCTGGCTAGAGACAAGTCCTAGTGTCTGAGGGTCTCTATAGAAATAGTACCAAGCTTGGGCTTGGCAGAGTGCCCAGATTTAGCTATCTAGTGGCTCTGGGGACTTGTAACCAGGCAGAGCCGAAAGCTCCGAGCATGGCACCCAGTGAGCCCCCAGCCTTCCCAGGGTGGACTGACCAACATTAGGATAATTAATTGGGCTTAGCACTGTGTAGTAGACATTGCCATTGCTGTGGAGGGAGGATTCCCTCCCCTGCTCCAGCCCCATAGGACTCAGTCTATGGTGGTGGGGCAGAGCTACTCAATTCATGGCATCTAGGAAGCAGAGTGAAGCAGTACCAGGCAATGACACTCCCCAGAGACCAACTTCCTCCAACTAGGCCTATCCCTCCAGAGTTCACCATGTCCAGATAATCTGTGCAGAATTTGAATTATCAGTACAGTAAGCCATTCAAAGGTCAGAGATCAAATTGATTTAATTCTCTCTTGCATATCCTCTCAGATACACCCAGAGGTATACTTAATTTGACATTTCTCAATCTTATGACAATCAAGATTAGCCATTACTGGCAGGAAAACCTTCGTTTGTGTGTGTGTGTGTGTGTGTGTGTGTGTGTGTGTGTGTGTGTGTATGAATATAGTATATATATGTATGTATATATACTGTGTGTATACACATATTACATATACACATACATATGCATCCAGTGATGTGCTGATTTTTTTCACTAAAGAACTTTTTAACCTTTAATTGCATTTCTGTTATGTAGGATATTGTACCTGTGGATGCCTCTTATGAAGTAAAAGAACTGTATGTACCAGAAAATAAACTTCACTTGGCAAAAACAGATGCAGAAACATTACCAGCATTGAAAATTAATAAAGTAAGCCCTACATTGCTTTTCAAACTAAATGTTACTTCTAAACAGTCATTAGTTTGGTAAATGTGACTTGTATCTGTGTTTGAGGTCAGGGCAGCAGTAATGGGGGTGATGGTATTATGGTGTGTATCATAATTTCCAGGGAAGGGAAATGTTTTAATTTGTGAAAAAAAATGATTCCCACATAACGATGGCTTTGATTTACTTGTAGCAGTAATACTTATTTTGAAATATCAAAGAACAAAGATTGTGTGAGATTTTTAGGCTTAAGAGGGAGAATGGGCTCTAAAAACATGAAGAAATACTAATCTATATTAATTAAAATGAACATTGCCTCCTTTAAATACGTTTCCTAATCTCCTGCCCCAAATTTGTCTCTCCCTTTCATATATTAAGAGTAATTCATGTATTCAGACTAGTTCTGTTGAATATCTTAGCTCTAATGATATCATTAGGTGCCTTTCACAATAAAAGATTACTGAGTTCAATGAAGCATGAAGAGAAAGGAGCACGCAATTTATTTTAAAATCTTAGAGAATTAAGTTGTACCATTTATGAATGTTTTAGAAATAGATTAAGAAGTAAGGACAGGAAGGATTGGAAGTTGGATTTCTTAGTCTTTCTAGTAAGACAACAGAAAGCCAAGAGACAAAGGGAAACACCCTATCTGAAAGTAGAGACGAAGGAAAACACAACTTCCTGAACTTGAAGAAAGACTCTCGTAGCTGCTCAGATTGCTGGTAGGTGGTGTACTTTGTGTGACTGGGTTGTTGACCAGAGCCCAGGACATGGTAGGAGAGGTATAGAGCAGAGTAGTTCCAGAAGCTGACTGTGATGAAGGAACTTTTTTGTCACTGACAGAATTCCCATGATGGACAGATACACAGACAGAGACAGACACACATACACATTCACACAATGAGAATGAGACAGATTGAAGGAATCAGGCCCACCAGACTAAAACCTGGAAAGACAGTGGCCTTTTCCTCAAGTAAGTTTATTGGCTATGCACAAAGATATCCTGCCATTCTTGCCCTTTCTCACAAGACATTTCCAAACACCTCACCCGAGGCAAAGGCTGCCTTTTACCTAGGATTTTTTTCAGGAACAAAGATGGTTTGCTGCTGTTAGATATCCTGAAGCACTGGATTCCAAGAGGTACCAGTCATAGTCACCACGCAAGGTTTAGACAAGAAGTACAGAGGAAAACTTGAAGTGCAACCAAATTCTCCATGAATGCCAGTTCTCTTGGGAGTTGAATCAGGGAAATTCTTTTCAATTATTTGATACTTTCAGTGGAATACATTGGTCAAAGTGCTTTGGGAATAAATAGGAGACTCATATCATTACACACTGTTCGGTCAAGCTGCCATCTTTTTCTCATTAGAGATCCACTGTTATCTGTCTGATTTAAAAAGAACATTCATCTTATATTAGGGACATGCACAGTTCATCTGTTCTTAATGTTCTGATATGTTAGAAAATCTGAAAGTTCAAGAATTAATGACCTTTGTAAAATGAACAGCACTCTGTTATGATTGCTTTTTTCTTTTTTTTTGCTATTCCTGGGGCTTGAATTCAGGGCCTGGGCACTGTCCCTGAGCTTCCTTTGCTCAAGGCTAGCACTCTACCACTTGAGCCACACCACCACTTTGGCTTTTTCTGTTTATTTGGTACTGAGCAATCGAACCCAAGGCTTCATGCATGCTAGGCAAGAACCAGTAAACTACATTCCAAGCTTATCTATTTTTAAAAAAAAATTATTTAAAGTTTTTTTTTTTCCTTTTCGGTTTAGGACAGTGATTATTGAAGTATAGTTTGCAGTCCTTCATTATCAGCATTTTCTTGGAATGAGATAGAACTATAAAATCTTGGGCCCTACTGAATTTAAAACTGAGAGTGAAGCAATCTTTTATTTTAACAATACTTGCAAAGGCGTGTGATGTGCAGTAAAATTAGAAAGCTACTGCCTTAGACGAGATTGTCCTTATGAGAAACACGTAGAGTATTCCTTACCTGACCCGTGGCCTTGTAATTCCTCTGTACATCACCTTTATAATAACAATCAATAATAATTTAAGAGAGTAGAAACACGTTATTTTAGTGTAGCATGTGTGTTTTCCTATGTGTATTTTCCTACTGCTTTCATTCTTTGTTAGAGTTGTGTAATCTCTAACCATTTTTAAAATGGGTGTTGCCATTACTCTCCAAACTAAATTGTAAAAGACTTTTACTATGTGGGTTTGTAAATGTATGTAATAGGGATTTTTCTTCGCTGTGTAATTTTCCAGGTGGACATGCAGTGGGTGCAGGTCTTGGCAGAAGGTTGGGCAACGCCCCTGAATGGCTTCATGCGAGAGAGGGAATACTTGCAGTGCCTTCATTTTGATTGTCTTCTGGATGGTAAGATAATTTCCATTCCAAGGTACCTTTCGTATGGGAGTGGAATTATATAGTTTCAGGGGTTTGTCACTGTTTGCAGATGCTAGTGGACACGTTAATAAAGGTAGCTTTCAGAGCTGGGAAGGTGGTTCAGTGGTAGAGCGCTTGCCTTGCATGCATGAGGCCCTGGGTTCCTTTCTGCAGCACCACATAAACAGAAAAAGATGGAAGTGGCGCTGTGGCTCAAGTGTTAGAGTGCTAGCCTTGAGCTGAAGAGCCGAAGGACAGTGCCCAGGCCCAGAGTTCAAGCTCCACAACCAACCAAAAACAAAAAACAAACAAAAGAAGTAGCTTTCAAAGGGTAAGTTATTATCAGCACTGAACATTTTGCATGACTGTGAAATCCTATTTTCCATTTTCCTGATTGTATTTCCTTGTAGAGGAAGAGGGAAAACCTGGTGATTAGGGCTAAAAATGGGCCCTAAAAGCACATATAATTCCCCAGTCCTCTCAGAAAGGTTCCCCTCCCAGGAACATTCACACCAAAGCATGCCACCCTGAAGCCATGGTCCAGCCTTCTAAAGGGGAGTCAAGAAATCCTGAAATAAAAGACTAAATTCAAGGCTCCTCCTATGCAAGGACTGTGCTGCCAAGTCAGGCAGAGGCTTCATCTCGTCATCTTCTTTTTTTTTTCACCACCACAGTAGATATAATTTCACCTTTACAATTTTTCGATTTTTTTTTTTTTTGGGGTCCGGTCATGGGGCCTGAACTCTGGGCCTGGGCGCTGTCCCTCAGCTCTTTAGCTCAAGGCTAGCGCTCTACCACTTGAGCCACAGCGCCACTTCCGGCTTTTTTTCTTTTTGCTTATGTGGTGCTGAGGAATCGAACCCAGGACCTCAGGCATGCAAGGCAAGCGCTCTACCACTAAGCCACCTTCCCAGCCCTCACCTTTACAATTTTTAAAGTTCTCCCCTTCCCTAAGGATTTCTTGTTGCTTCTTAGATACTCATTTCAGGATAATTTTCCGTTTTTGTAGAGGTCTGTCCTTTTAAATTCTTTCTATAGCTGTCCTTTGGTGATAAATGTGGCAAGTAGAAATGAACATTCTTATTTCTCCTTTTTCTTTTTCTTTTCCTTTATCCTCTTTCCCTCCCTCCCTCCCTCCCTCCCTCCCTCCCTCCCTTCCTTCCTTCCTTCTTTCCGAGTTGCGGCCTTATTATGTTGTCACAACCATCTACAGTCTCACTATGCTCCCTAGTTTGGGCTCAAATTTACAATCTTCCAACCTTAGCCTTCAGGTACCTAGGATGGTGGGTGTGTGCCACTATGTCTAGCTCCTATTATTTTATTTTATTTATTTATTTTTTATTGGTTGTGGGGCCTGAACTCTGGGCCTGGGCGCTGCCCCTCAGCTCTTCAGCTCAAGGCTACCATTCTACCCCTTGAGCCATAGCGCTACTTCCGGCTTTTTCTGCTTATGTACTGCTGAGGAATCGAACCCAGGACCTCATGCATACAAGGCAAGCACTCTACCACTGAGTCACCTTCCCAGCCAGACCTCCTATTATTTTAAAACATTTTTAAAAAGTTGCCAATGTAAGCCAGGTACCAGAGGCTCATGGTTGTAATCCTAGCTGCTCAGAGGGCTGAGCACTGAGGATCAGGATTCAACAACAGCCTGGACAGGAAAGTCCATGACACTCCTTATCTCCAGAAAACTACCAGCAAACTGGGAGTGGCAATGTGGCTCAAAGTGGCAGAGCACTAACCGAGTGAAGAAAGCTCAGGGACAGTGACTAGGTCCTGAATTTAAGAAAAAAAAGTTGCCAAAGTAAATAATGTCTTGGATATTAGAATTACAACTCAGCTACTTTTATGTTTTATATGGTTGGTAACTGAACCTGAGTGAGTGTACACTGAAAATAATTTGAATGTCACAAATCCGTGCTAAATTGCTAGCAAGTTTCTCTATTTGTATAACTACATTAAACTGGAATACAGTAATGTGTGCAAAGATAATTACTGGTCCTTCTTTGTGTTAGCTTTTGGTTGCTATGACAAGATGTTGGAGATAAAAACTTAAGGAATGAAAGATATATTTTGGCTTATAGTTCAGAGAGTTCAGTCTGTGGTTGGCTGGCTCCATTTCTTCTGTTGTTAGGAGATTTAGTTGCAGGGTAACAGAGAAGCCGCCACTTAAGAGGCCAAGTTATAAGTCATTATTGTAGAGCTGGAGGACTGCTGGTAGACTCTTTTCTCAAAGACATTTATCTAGGGGACGCATAGACCCAGGCTCCTTCCTTCACTTTCAGGCCTGTAGCGAGGCAGAAACATAATAGCAGAAAGACAGAGAGGAAAGCTGCTCCCCTCATGCTAGCCACAACCCAGAGAGTCAGAGAAATGGAAGGATCCAAAGGAGAAATAAACCTTTCCAAGTCTCTTCCCTGAATGATTTGTTTTCTTCAACTAGGCCCCATCTTCTAATAGCTATGAATTCTTGAATAAATTAATTTGTAGGAGATTAATGTCCTCATGATCCAGTCACATCTCAGTATTTCTCGAGAAACGTTATCATAAGAATATAAGGATTAAATAGACTTTAATTTTCTAGTTTAGGATTAATGATGGACTGACAGCTTAGTAATGACTCTGAGATCTTCCTGCTCATTTTCTATCTTGAACTGTACTTAGCTAGTGGTGCTACTTTCAAATGTGGCCATGTGGACATCAATGATAAGAAGGGTTGCTGTGTCTGCCACAAGTGCAATTTCCTCAGTACAAAAACTCAAGTAGAGGGGCTGGGAAGGTGGCTCAGTGGTAGAGCGCTTGCCTTGCATGCCTGAGGCCCTGGGTTCAATTCCTCAGCACCACATAAGCAAAAAGAAAAAAAAAAGCCAGAAGTGGCACTGTGGCTCAAGTGGTAGAGTGCTAGCCTTGAGCTGAAGAGCTGAGGGACAGCGCCCAGGCCCAGAGTTCAGGCCCCACGACCGGACCCAAAAAAAAAAAAAAAACAACAACAAAAAAACTCAAGTAGGAATTTAAGAGTACATTTACCTTTACTTTGTGGTGGTGTTACTGCTACTCTGATCTCTTTGAACTCAGAGCCTCGCCCTTACTAGGCAAGCTCTACCACTTGACCCATCCCTCCAGCCCCTTTTCACTAATTTTTCAGATTATTTTCAATTGTTTTTCTGTTACTGGGATTATAGGCGTATACCACCATGCACAGCTTCTGTTTTACTTTTCTAATCATTCATGCTAAGTTGATAAGAATAAAATGTTTTGCAGCTAAAGCTTGGGCACTGAGACCATGCATTTGGTCTTACTGATCACACATTTTCTTCTAAGTGAAGCAGCTAACCAGTGCTTCATTTCTTGAGTAGTGAGGTATTGGTTTGCAGTGACTGTATTTAAAAAACAGCCAGCTGGGTGCCATTGGCTCATACCTGTAATCCTAGCTACTCAGGAAGCTGAGATCTAAGGATTATGGTTCGAAGCCAGCCCTGGTAGAAAACTCTGTATGACTTTTTTTTTTTTTGTTGGTTGTGGGACTTGAACTCTGGGCTTGGGCGCTGTCCCTATGCTCTTCAGCTCAAGGCAAGCGCTCTACCGCTTAAGCCAATGTACCACTTCTGCTTTTCTAGTGGTTTTTATTGGAGATAAGAGTCTCACAGACTTTACTGCCCAGGCTGGCTTTGAACCTGGATCCTCAGAACTCAGCTTCCTGAGTAGTTAGGATTACAGGCATGAGCCACAGGCAACCAGCTCCAGAGACTCATATCTCCAATAAACTACTCAGATAAAGCTGGAAGTAGCTCTGTGGCTCAAGTGGTTTCTGGCCAGCCTTGAGCACAAAGAGGCTCAGGGGGAGCGCCCAGGCCCTGAGTTCAAGCCTCAGGACCAGCAAAATAAATAAGTAAATAAATAAACTTAAAAAAACAACAAAAATTTAGGGTATTTTTCTTCCTGTTTCGAAGACTTCTATGGATACTCACATATATTTATTCAGCTTGCCTCTTCAGGTATAGTTATTTATGTCCTGTTTTCACAAGAATTCAAGTTTTCTGCAGTATAGCTATGTGTCTCACTCATATGAGATACACAGTGTGCTTTTGGTAATTAGTTGTAACGCTCCTTAGGCAAGTAGCACCTTGTACTTTTGTAATTCTGTAAAAAGTTGTCTTCAAGGAGAACTTGATACATTGCCATGCAAGGATCACTATACAGTGTTGGGTCTTTTTGTTTGTTTGTTTGTTTTGTTTGTAACTGGGATTATTGATGTTTTCTCTGAACAAGTTTGTTCCTGCTTCTGATTTTCTGTGTCTCGTTCTAAGTGACGCTGTCACTGGGTGCATAAGCCTTTTAAAATTAGAAATGTGTCCACAGAAGAGGAAGATGAGTGGAAGGGAGGCCATTGCTAAGCAATCTAAGCTGTGTGTGTTTGTTCCTCCATGCCTGCAGGGGGTGTCATTAACTTGTCGGTGCCTATAGTGCTGACTGCCACTCAAGAGGACAAGGAGAGACTGGATGGCTGCACAGCATTTGCTCTGATGTACGAGGGCCGCCGAGTGGCTATTCTTCGCAACCCAGAGTTTTTTGAGCACAGGAAAGAGGAGCGTTGTGCCAGACAGTGGGGAACAACATGTAAAAACCACCCCTACATTAAGGTCCTACATACATCTTGCTGCATTTTTATCTTGACTTGCTGTGACTTCAGTACTGTAATGTGGGCATTGTTTTGTTTTGTTCGTTAGCCGTTCCATTGGCTTATTAATACTTTGCAGAACTTTGAGTGGATTTTAGATTAGTGTAATAAGCTGACTTGTAATTTTGGCTCAATTAAATATTCAGCAATTTTTTTTTTAGTTCTTTTGTAGTTGAGTGCTGGGGCTTAAACCTGGGGTTTTACTGGGCTGGGGATGTGGCTTAGTGGTAGAGTGCTTGCCTAGCATGCATGAAGCCCTGGATTCGAGTTCTCAGTACCACATAAACAGAAAAAGTGGCTCTGTGGCTCACGTGGTAAAGTATTAGCCCAGGTCCTGAGTTCAAGCCCCAGAACTGACCAAAAAAAACCCAACAACACAAACAAAAAATACTCTCTAGGGCATATGTGGAGTCTGCTCTGCCATTTAGCTACACTCCCCACCCCTTGCTTAGAACACATTTCAAAAAATATCTGCTGTATGCCCAGCACTAAAGTGGGTGCTGGAACTTGGAAACTAGGGCTGGGGTGTACTGTTTATGCACTTAGAGTTTAGTGGTGGGGCATAAATGGATCGTGAACTTAGAAGGAGGATGTGGGACCAGGCTGCACCACACCAGCGTGGCTTAATCATTTCTGATGTTTTTATGTTGTTGTTTTTTTCCCCCATGGTAGGAAAGTAGAGAAATACAATTAGTCTCCCAAAAGTGCTTTGTTTACTTTAAGTATTGTGTGTGGCATATTAGCTTTGAAGTCAAAGTTCTGGGATTTGTTTGGTATTTTAAAGTAGACTTGGAGCATTAAAAGAATCGAGGTGCATTGTGGGTAGGGGAAGAGGATGACCTGGTCTTGTAGGGTCCCAACTCCTCCTTTCAGATTCAGAGAAAGAAGGTAAGGAAAGCTGGATACAGTTTGATGAATTTGATGAATTTGTCAATGAATTTGAAAAGTTCATATGAATTTGAATTTGTCAGTGATCATTAATGCTTTAGCAGTTTAGGAACACAGAGGTATGAATAATCCAGGGCTACAAACTTCTGCTAGTCAACTTTGAACAGGGAGATGGCTTTGACTTTCTTATGTAAATTTTAAAAAAAGAAATGACAAAGTGCCTTCTAATAGTATAGCATCTCTAATCCTAATATAGTTGATAATCACAACGCGTTTACTGTTGCCTTGAAGATGGAGAGTAGTTTACAGCTGTATGTAGTTTATGAGAGGATTCTCATTACTGTTTAAATGTTGATTTCTATTTAAATAGATGATTTTCTATGTCTTCCTATTAGATGGTTATGGAGCAGGGAGACTGGCTGATCGGAGGAGATCTTCAAGTCCTGGACCGAATTTACTGGCATGATGGTCTTGATCAGTATCGCCTCACTCCTTCTGAGCTCAAGCAGAAATTTAAAGATATGAACGCTGGTAAGATGTAATGCCAGGAAGACCTAATGAGACTGCTAGGAAAGAAAGTTTCAGAAGTGTTTTTCTAATGTGTAATGTGGAAATAAGTAAAGGTACATGTCATAATGGAATATGTGAGGAAAAGTAGGGAGTCAAAACCAACCAGTGTAGTTTTGCTGTATTTGTCTAACTTTATCTAACATCGTGCAAATAACAAATGGACGATTTATTTATTGTAAAACCCCTGTGTTAAAGCTGAATGGATTGTAGAACAGCATTTATTTGGATAGTTCAACAGAACTTTTATTACATTTACTCCATTTAAACAGTGTTTGCTATGTGTCTCTGTATGCCAGCATGCCAGGTGCTGAGGCTCCATAAACCAATATAAGAGGAGCCTAGGATATACAAGAGAGAGACATTAAATAGTAACAGAAAAAAGTTGTAGTCATTACTTTTGCATCATTTCTAGGTTTGGATGAAATGGAGCAATATGACAAGAAGGGACATTTTAGATGCTGTTGTCTTCTACATTTTGATATGTTCCAAGGAAGACTTTTTTCTTTTTCTTTCTTTTTTTTTTGACAGTCTCACTATGTAGAAGAATGGCATAAACTCTCTAGTTTATGCCCAATACAGCCTTCCAAGTGGTAGGAGGGTAGGTGTGTACTACCATGCTTGTTCAGTACAGGACTTTTAGCTCAGAATTCTGCCATTGGTTGTGTGTGTGTGTCTATGTCTTTGTGTCTGTATGTGTGTGTGTATGCTGGTTATGGGGCTTGAACTCAGGGCCTCAGATGAGTCACTCACAGTGGTACTCTATAGTTCCCGCCCAGTCTGCTTTATTTATTCACATTCCTGCTTGCTTACGTGAGATTGGAGGGCAGGACCCCTCGGACTTGATTCTTCTTTTTCTCTGAAGTTGAAGCAAATATTGACTTAATATCCAGGAACTTCTCTGAGTGCTGCACTTGATAGTAACCTGTGGATAGTTTATTCTCTCCTTTCTGGCCTTCATAATTTGGGCTGAGTTGATAAATGAATAATAATTGATATGTCAGTAATGGCACCAGTTCTCATTAGTATATAACTTAGGGTTCATATAGAAGTCACTTCTGGACATTGAGGAGTGAGGGAAAGGGCTGCTAACAAAAAATTTCCATCCTGAAAAGACACTGGCTAATAGTGAAAATGACAGCATTAATTCAAACCTATCTTTTCCCATTTCATCTCTTTCTCATTAGAATGCTGTCATGTGAGGATAGAACTTTGAGAGTTCCTCTAGCTGGTGTGTGTGTGTGTGTGTGTGTGTCTGCTCCAGGCTAGCACTCTACCACTTGAGCCACAGCTCCATTTCCAGCTTTTTTGGTGGTTAATTGGAGTTAAGAATTTCATGGGCTTTCCTGAGCTGATTCTTAGATCTCAGCCTCCTGAGTATCTGGGATTGCAGTGCGAGCCACTGGCGCCTGGCCCTGTAGCTGTTTTCTGTTTATGAGAATATCAACTATGTGCACTCTTGTCCTTAACACTGTTTTAAGTTTTTGAACTGAAACCTGTCATCTATCTCCAGATTTCTTATTCAAAGAGATAATACGTTGAATTGTAACAGGTTTCTAGTGGACCTTCTATTATTTGCAGTCGACAAGAAGGTTTATTACAATTAACTACACTTTTTTTCTGGTGAACACAGCCACATGTAATGGAGGACTAGCTGAGACTACCTTAGTTTATTTATTTATTGCCAAAATTTGAATTCATATCTAGAGCTGATTGATAGTTAACAAATTAATGATTGGGGCTGGGAAGGTGGCTCAGCGGTAGAGTGCATGTCTTGCAAGCATGAGGCCCTGGGTTCGATTCCTAAGCACCACATAAACAGAAAAAGCCTGAAGTGGCGCTGTGGCTCCAGTGGTAGAGCGTTAGCGTTGAGCTGAAGAGCTGAGGGACAGTGCCTAGACCCAGAGTTCAGGCCCCATGACCGGCCAAAAAAAAAAAAACAAATTAATGATTGGCACTGTAAAGAGTTCTTATCATGGAATTATTATTGGTAATTAGACATTCTTAATATTACATCTATTTTTGCACACTTCTTTGGGAGTCAGGCAGTTTGAATTATTTGGAGAGTTTTGCACAATGAGTGATTGCATCTTTGGTTTAAGTAGCTGAGAGCCAGTTATTAGTCTGACATCAAACATCAAAGATTTGTAGTGCTGTTTTGTTTACTTTTCCACTTTAGACTAAGGCAAATAAGCAACAGACCAAGGAGCTTACTTTGTAGTTCTTGTTCATTCTTTTAGGAATCTAGTAACTCGTGCTACTGGGATCTAGGGAAAAAAGCGAGACTACTTTTTAGCTTCATTTCTTACCTTTTCCTCCCTCTTCTCTCATCCTGGAAATATTTTGATTTATGCTCTGTGGCTTTTGTCTTTTGTACAACATTTATGTAGTCAGTTTGGCTGTTTCTAGGCCATTCCATCGCTGGCAGGATGGGGAGGTCTGTAGTAAATATCCCCACCATTGATTGCAAGGCGATATACTTCCAGATGGCCCATTCTTTGAATCCTGATGATTGACCGATATCCTGGGGAGGAAGGATGAATTTTACTTAAGCCAAGTAAGGGGCCTGTTAGCATTTATTATACACAGAGTGTTGGTGTCCTGTTGATTGCAAAAGGAAGAGCTTACATAATTTCTTTCAGACTAGCACACGGCGTGCAGGGTTGAACAATTTTGACAAAGCTTTGTGGAGTTGCTGAATTGCAAGCTGTATTTTAAGTGAATGATTGGAGATGTTGGAAGGATATTTAAGGGTGTTTTCTAAAAGTCTGTGGGCTTTCTTGACTGTAAAGACCAGTGAGCTACAGAGACTAGTCCTGAAATTGATGGTAAGAGGCTTATGTGGTGGCACATCATAGCAGCTATATATGTAAATATATTTCCATTATTTTTTTTGTCTCTGTACTTTACCAACTTACTTTCTGCTCTTTCCCATGTCAATTCTGTACAGTCCTGTTAGGCTAATTTCCATAAGCCACTAATGATCATTTCACTTTTCACTTAAAAAACTTATGTGATAAGCAGTCCTTCCTAACTGGGTGTTCAGAATTCATCATGATAATCTTGAGCCTGGTTTTACATTTGGCTCCCTGCCCTGTATCTCTGACAAAGAGGGTGCTTCTCAGACATATCCCTGCTTTCCTACCTCCACATTTTATCTATATCTGTCTAAAAAAGCATTGCACTACTATTACATCACCTGTATCTCAAGGCAGAATAAATTTAAATGTTTGTATACTTATACTAAGACTTTGCTGTGCTTGGTACATAATGTCATAACAGCATTTCCTAGGTGAAAAAGAAGTTCTGCTTGTAAATAATGTTGCTTAAGGAACCAGGCACCAGTGCCTAACATGAGGATCTTGTAGTTCAAAGCTAGCCCGGCCAGGAACGTGTGTGAGGTTCTTATCTTCATTTAAACACCAAAAGACTGGAAGTAGCCCTGTGGCCACTTAAGTGAAAAAGCTCAGGGATAGTGCCCAGGCTTAGAGTTCAAGCCCTACAACTGACAGAAAACAAAACCAAAAAACTGAAGTGTAAAGACTTCCAATAATAAAAAGAATACAGTAAACATTAGGTAATAATAGGATTGGCAAAAAAAAAAAAATGTTGAAAGCTGTACTATAGTGTTTGCTCAGCCAGTGCTTCTGGAGAGGATTGGCATTGAAACCAACTGAAGACGATATCTCCTTTGTGGCTATTAGGGGAGGAAAGATGTTCTTCTCAGAGTCAAGCTTGGGTTAGCATGGTGGGATGGTGTGCCAGATGTTTGAAGGACAGTAAATACAAAACTTCCCTAAATGTATGGTCTCTGTTTTCTGAAATTACTCTGTACCCTGAAGAACCATGGCTTCTACCAAAAGTCTCCTGACAGCAAGCATCATGGAGGAATGAAGCCAGTGATACAAGCAGGAATTAGTTAACCACCTTAATTAATCTTTCAGTTTTTCTTGTTTGATTGATAGCAATGGTGCGCATAAGGGATATGAGTACCATTGCTAAGCAGTAATCTAAAACTAGGTATCACAAAACAAAATAAAGTTCAAGCTAACCAAAGCCAATTAAGTAGCTCAGCATAATGAGCCTACTTGGATAGTTAGCAAAATTTTGTAACTACAATTATCTCTATTGTTTTGTCTCCTTTCAATAAAGCATTATCATCTTGGGTCTTGTGGAGGAGTGGATCTGGTGGCTCTTTGAATCACAAGCCAAGAATTTATATGTGTTGTAAGCAGTTGAGCTGAGAGTTGAGTACAAGAAAGATAGTGTGGCCCTTATTCTCATTTCCCGTGGATGCACAGAATGATTGTTATAAATGTTTGGTTATTACATTGCATATCTGTAGGCATCTTTATGTACAGTAGAATATATACCATGATGTCCTATAATAATTGGAACAGTGTACAGTTCCACACATTTCTGATTCAGAGCACATGCATATATTTGCTTAATCCTAAGCATCAAGCTTTCAGAAGGCTTGTTTATCCTGTAGAAGATAGTGTCAGAAATCCTTAACTCTGGAAATTCTCTTTACAGATGCTGTCTTCGCATTTCAGTTACGCAACCCAGTACACAATGGACATGCTCTGTTAATGCAGGATACCCACAAGCAACTTTTAGAGAGAGGCTACCGTCGCCCTGTCCTCCTCCTTCATCCTCTGGGTGGCTGGACAAAGGATGATGATGTTCCTTTGATGTGGCGCATGAAGCAGCATGCTGCTGTGTTGGAGGAAGGGATCCTGAATCCTGAAACTACAGTAGTGGCCATCTTCCCATCCCCCATGATGTATGCTGGACCAACGGAGGTAGATTGCTTTTTACAATTGTCACTAAAGTAGTGCTGACCTTATTCCTGTTAACATATTAGTATCATCAGCTCATCTATTGATTTTTCTCTGATGGTCAGATCTATTCCAAATATGGGGCATATCTGAGTATTCTCTTGCTGTCAGGAATGTTCTCTAGCTGTAACCCCCAATCCTTCTTGGCAGGGGAAGGCAGAGAGAGTTTTCTGTCGCTTTTTAATGTGGTTCTTGGTCTTACCTGTAAGGATGGTAGATAGTTACCTTAGTCAGAGGCTAAGTGAGGCTAAGAAGGTATAATACAGGCCTTCTAATATCCACTAGGCATATTACAACATAGCTGCAACAAAACTGATCCTATTCCTATAACAAAGTCCTAGATCCTGGTGCAGATCTGGGCTGATTTTGCTTTTCCTGAATTTTGCAAGAGCTAAAGGGATATCAGTGAAAAGGGAAGCATGGTATCTAGGTCAGTCAGCTCTCTGTCACTATGACAAATACCTGAGAAAATCCACAAGGAAGGTTTGTTTGGCTCATTGGTTTGGACACAATTCATTATCAGTTGGCCTCATTGCTTTGAGCCTGTGGTCAGACAGCACATCATGGAAGAAGTGTGAAGTGGAATAGGACCATTCATATTATAGCTGGGAAGGGAGAGAGGTCCTGAGAGGGACCAAGGTCCTATTATCCATCTTCAAAGATATGACGCCAATGACCAGATAACTCCCATTAGGCTCCACCTCCTAAAGGTTTTACCATCTCCCAATAATGTCAAATTGGAGACCAAGCGTCTAACACATGAACCTTTGTGTGAACTTTTCATATCCAAACTATAGAATTTTTCCATTGGTCCATAGAAGCTTGTGTCCATCTTCCAATGCAAAATGCATTCAGTGTCTCAGAAAAGTTTTCAGAAAATGTTCTTCATCTGTTCTTTGATGAACATAAATGAGTCAGGAAGTAAATTGCTTCTTGGATGGGAGTGGGGTGGTGGGAAAAGTTTGGGAATTCTATTCTTAGTCCAAATCCAAAGGAATGTTTAGAATATTTAAAAATCTGTATATATATATATATATATATATACATATATATATATATGAAGAAAGTTTAAGTTTTTAGCTTCAAGGCAGGGTAGCTTTTTTTTTTTTATTTTGGTAAATATTTGTTGAATGATTGAATGACCTCCAATGAGTGAGTGACCTCAAAAATAATGGGTGGGAAATTCACAGCCAGTTTCTTGTTGAGTTTTCAAGAATGGAATGTACATTATTATTGAATTCCTTTTCATCTCTGCTTTAAAGGGAGATGAACTCACTTAGATTTATCTGACAGGCAAGCCTGGTTTTAAAGGATCCAAGAAATTTAGTGGTGCAAACAGTATGGTATCTTCCTCTAAAAAAAAACAAACAAAACCAAAAAAGAATCCAAGGGAATTTGATTTGGGCTCAAGCCTAAAATTTTTTTTATTGCTGCTTAGTTATTGAGTTGTGTACTCTGTTACCTCTTTATCCAAGCAAAACAGACAAAACCAACAGTAATGACAAGCTAAAAGATTAAAATCTATTCAACTCTTTTTGTTTGTTCAATCTAAATAATACATTGAAATTACCATGTCAGATAAAACGCATGTTCGTCCCTTTTTGTGAGTGTTATGTGTTCCTCTAGAACCCCATATGTTGACTGGAGACTTCTTGTATCTTAAGGAAGAACTCATTGTTTTGGAAAGTAACAGTTTTTTTCCATTAGCTTTTGTACTAGTGCTGATGACAACATTGCATCATCATCTTAAGGGTGGTGTGAAGTTCTTTTGAGTGAATGGATGAATGTTTTTTAACGTAAGAATGACCTAAGTAAATTTAGAGTCAGATACAAGTATTCATGTTTATTTTAGGTGTATATTTATTTTTGACAGGGACGAAGTTTGAACTTAAGGCCGTACTACTTTAGATAGACCTGTAGCTTCTTTTTTGCTTTAGTTATTTTTCAGTAGGTTCCCATGATTTTTGCCTGTATAAAAAAAGGTGGTTCATGGAAGTGGCGCTGTGGCCCAAGTGGTAGAGCACTTGCCTTGAGTGAAGAGCTGAGGGATGGCGCCCAGGCCCAGAGTTCAAGCCCCACGACTGACAAAAAAAAAAAAAAAAAAAAAGGGGCTTAGCTACTAGCTACTCAAGAGGCTGAGATATGAGGATTGTGGTTCAAAGCTAGCCTGGGCAGGAAAGTTTTTTTTTTTTTTTTTTTTGTGAGACTCCTATCTATAATTAACCACCAGAAAACTGGAAGTGGTGCTGTCGCTCAAAGTGTAGAGTGTAGCCTTGAGCAAAAAAGCCCTCAGTTCAAGCTCCACAACCTACAAAAAAGGGAAAAAAAAGTGAGAATGGGGGATAGAAAAGTAATACAATAGTCAGTGATGGAAAAAAGATACTCTCTCTCCTTTTCTCTCTTTTTTTGTGTTGGTACTGGGTCTTGAACTCAGTACCTGCATGCTGTCCATTAGGTTTTTTTTTTTCTTTCTTTCTTTTTTATTTTTTACTCAAGGCTAGCATAGTGCTACTTGAGTCACAGCTCCATTTCCAGCTATTTCCTGGTTAATTGGAGATAAGACTCTCATGAACTTTCTCCTGAATACCTAGGATTATAAACATGATCCACTGGTGCCTGACAAAGATATTCTCTAACGAGAATATTCCAGATGGTCATATAGGCTTCTTTGGCTAAATGGAGATTTTTATGTTTTCTGACTTCAGAATCAGGTATGTTTGTAAAGGAAAACTTAAAGAGACCTAAGAAAAATATTAAGCTGGGCTCACACCTATAATCCTAGCTACTCAAGAGGCTGAGATCTGAGGATTGCAGTTTGAAGTCAGTTGGGGCAGGAAAGTCCATGAGACACTTATCTCCAGTTACCCACTTAAAAAAAACAAAACAAAACAAAAGCTGGAAGTGGAGTAATGGTTCAACGGGTAGATCATTAGCCTCGAGTAAAAAAGAAGTTTAGGGACAGCGCCCAGGCCCTTAATTCAAGCCCCACAACCAACAAGAACAACAACAAAAAACCTTTTCTTTCTACTCTCTCTGACTTATATCTGTTTTCTCACATCCAGTGCCACAGACCCAGTTCACTTGTGTAGAAGATTGTGTACCTTTGGGAAATAGACTGAGAATAAGGATTGAATTCAGGATTTCTTAGGGAAAGCTCTTGAGATCAACTGGCCTTTGGATTGCCCAGTGTTTTGCTATGGACACTAGTACTGGCATGAAGATTTCAGACTATGTCTTTTTGTGTGAACACAATCTTTTTAACCTATGTTGGCCTTGATCCTGCTGATATCTGTCTGTCTCTTGAGTAGCTAGGATTATACCTTGCCACCTGTGTCTGGCAAAGTTAAGTAGTTCAGCAAATAGATTTCCCCAGATTGTTGCTGAAGAGGGGCAGTTAGAGCTAATATAGATGGACACCCAAGGCCAAGGTTAAAAAACTCAAAGCAGCCTGACTAGAATTAGGTCCAGGACATAGTCTTTGTTCATTTAAAGCCATCAAAACACCAAGCTGGGACTGAAATGAGTCTATGCAACTCCATTGCTGGGCAGCGACCACCTTATTGCACAGTTTGTCTTCCTGCAGGGAGGTAAGCATATTCTTTCTACCAGGGCTCATCATGGCCCAGCATCTTGAAATAGCCTTATCCTTGGCAGTTAGAGAGAGGACAGAGAAGTTGGCACTCTGGGTACCTACTCAGAGTTTGCAGGTTTTCTAGGGAGAGTATACAAGCATCTCCAAGTTTCATCTTCCTGTAATCTCTGCCAGGAGTGTAAATTAGGAGCTAAGAGGTTTGACTCTTGTCAAGAAGTCCTAGGTTTGGTACCTAAGCAAAAGGCAGTTTTAACTTTCTGAACTTGTAAGGAATAAACTTTAGAAATTCTAGTAAACATCTAATGTTTTGAACTATGAAATGGATCATCAGTGTTTATAACCTGGCAGGACGTAGCTGTTAGATTGAATGCCTTCAGAGAAAACTGTCCATTTCTTTTTCTCTAGTGCCTTTCTTATGTGTTTAACTTGTTTGTTGCCTTTAAAGAGAAGAATTTTATTGTGATTAAAAAAAAAACACCCTCATTTTTTTTGTAGCTTTTCCAGTGACATCAGGAAAAAGTCTGCCAGTAATACTTATTTGCCAACTCGTAATAATAAAATAAAAACAATGACTCTTCCTTTAATCGTTATTTCTGTAGGTCATTTAGAAGACATTGGTACCAGATTTGTTTCTTTAGCACAAATGCTTTTCAGAACAATGAACGTCTGTTAAGACTATTTGGTTATCAACAGGATGTTCCTCGTTTTCCAGTCTATAAAGATTTAATTGCTTGATCCCCAAATTCCATTTTAGGAATGGGGTAGTGGGATCATATGGCAGAGAGATTACGTTTCTAATGCTTAAAATGGTTCTATGAATGTACATTTTTAAAATCTGCGAGTAATTAATTACAATATAGGAAAGTCAGTGTGTCTCATATCATTAAATACCAAATCTATTTTTTTTAAGGAGTAAATAAGGCTTTTACAGATGTATAGCAGAAAAGTACTAAAAGTAAGATATAGCTGAGGATGTACACTAATAGCTATGTCTTGGGTTTATAAAATGCTAATGAGGATTATTAGTTAACTCTAATGGGAACTTGCTGGAAGTTGATACTTTTCTGTCATGAAAATGATGCAGGGTTAAGTAACTCCTTGGTAGAAACTGACTCTGTAAGTGAGCAGGTACCTTAGAACAGGGACAAGAGAAAAATACTGCCAAATGAATGCCAGTATATTTCTTAATTAGGTCAGGTTTTATACTAGTATCTGGAACAGTTAAGTAGAGTATCCGGTACAATATAAACCTGCCCTTCCTATAAGCACTTGGCATGAGCTCCCAGTAACCTACAGAAATATTAGTTCTTGAGATCTGAGCCTAATTATTCAAGTCATCTGCTCCCAAGTTGTAGTGGTAGCTTTGCATTCTTGGAGGTCTTTGGATGATTTTGCTTTCTACTTATTTATTTTAGTTACATGTTTCTTGTGTGGAACACCCATGATCACAAAATCTCATATGAGGGCTGGGAATGTGGCTCAGTGGTAGAGTGCTTGCCTTGCATGCATGAGGCCCTGGGTTTGATTCCTCAGCACCACATAAGCAAAAAGAAAAAAGCCGGAAGTGGCATTGTGGCTCAAGGGGTAGAGCGCTAGCTTTGAGCTGAAGAGCTGAGGGACAGTGCCCAGGCCCAGAGTTCAGGCCCACGACCGGACCCCCCCCCCCCCAAAAAAAAAAAAATCTCATATGAAATCTTTGTTGTAATATGTGAAACTTGATTATGTTTGCTACCATTTATTTTGAAAATAAACAAACATGGCTGGAGAATAAATGAATACTGCTTCTTGAAAAGATCTTGCATGGTCTTTAGATACATAGAATTAGCTTATTTATGTATTTGATTCATGATGCTCTACTATCATTTGTCCATGAATTGATTGTTTTTCTAAATTTGGACTGTGCATCCATCTGTATTTAATAACAACTATGAATTGCATTGACCTGAAAAATGTTAATTCTTCACATCTACCAGGTCCCTGTAACAATTACATTTTTCCGCTGTAACTCTTTTCTCTCATCTGTCCTCAAAATTAGAGCTGACCATTGCCCATTGCTCGGTAACCCCCAGTAAGGTAACCAAGTGTTCTGGGCTCCAGTTCTTTCTCGTGGTAAAAAAGTAAAAGGGAAGCGTTCTGGGAAGTTGGCTCAGTGGTAGAGTGCTTATCTCGCATGCATGAGGCCCTGGGTTCGATTCCTCAGCACCACATAGCAGAAAAAAGCCAGAAGTGGCATTGTGGCTCAAGTGGTAGGGCGCTAGCCTTGCTGAAGAGCTGAGGGACAGCGCCCAGGCCCAGAGTTCAGGCCCACAACCGACAAAAAAACAAACAAACAAAAAACAAAACAAAACAAAAAACCCCCCAAAAAGTAAAAGATTAAATGATTTGAGCTTCCTGACATACTAGAATTAAGTCAGTAATTTCTAGTTTTCCAACCTTTTGGTGTTGGAATGGTAGATGAAAATATTTAATAAGCAAGTTAACTTCACTTAAGTTCAGAGAACTTAGACTACTTTTAATTTAACTCAGTACAGTGGCTTCTGATTTCCATGGGGTAGAGAAGATTTTTCCATTGGAAGGGAGTTGCAAAGTGATTGATAAATATTCTGACTAACCACTTGATAAAAGTTGAGTATGAAATAGCAGAGGTCTTTAGTATGTATTTTCTTTGTAGGGGTAGAGAGTGACCAAAGTTTTTATGGACAGTTGGATCTGAGGGTAGATGGAAGCAGAGGTAGCATAGAGCACTATGTAGGGAAGCAGCAACTGTTGGCATCTTGTTTTGTCCGCTTTCTTATAGAACCTGCCATAGCTCAATGAAGTACTATTAGAGCTATAGTAGAACAAAACCCAATCTAGTTACAGGACTGTGAGGGTTTTTCACTATTCAGCTGGTCAGTGGTGGAAAAGAAGCAGCACAGTGCTAGGGAGGCTTTTTAGGGCCACATCTGGAAGTGTTGCATATATCACTTTGGCTGTATTCCTTGGCTAGCTAGACTTGGACCACATGGTTGCATTTCAAGACAGGATGGAAAGGGAAATACACACCATTGTGTGCTTACAAGGAAGGATTAAAAGACCAAGGTATATAGAAACAAGTATGTGGAAAACTAAGCAAGTGCAAAAAAAAAAAAGCCAAATGCAAACAAAACATCAAGGCAATTATTAACTCTAAAGAAGCAGTTGTTCAGGAAGGGAAACATAATAAAGCTAACATTTATTGTAATAAATGTTACTTTCAAGTTAGTACATTCTATTTTTTTCCTTAAAATTCTGTGAGAGAAATACTGTAACTCCTATCTTGTAGGTGATTTTACCAAAGATACTGGTAGTACTATGTTGACTAAATGAAATGAGAAGCAAGAGCCAGATAGCACCTTTTATATCATCAAATCTAAATGCTATGAGAATAATGTCTATATTATAAATTACTAAATCTTACCAGTTGAGACAGAGCAGTGTAAGCATGCTATTTGAAAGTGTGGAGTGAATACTAGTAGAAACAACGTAAAGGAACTTAAGAAAGAACTTAAAAAGGTGAAACCCAGTTTGATCAGGTTTGGACCAAGTCACATAGGGAATATGACATTATCCTTGTACTGCTTCACTTTTTAAACTGAGTTCATTAAACTGCCAGTGCCTGAGATAAGAGAAATTATCAAGAGAGATAAAATGAAAACAAGTCAATAACAATGTTCTGGTTATGCATTTTTAGTAATCATGGTTTATTCTTTATTTTCATATAGTACAGGTAGGGTCATGTGAACCCCTAAACTTTCAATCTTATGCTGAAAGGGGAACTAAGGCCAAATTTGTATGGGTTTATCCTAAAGTTTCTTGACCACATTGCTTAGCCTTTGAGGGTTTTCCTCTTTTCAGATGAACTGCAAATAATTCTGAAGTTTCAAATTTCCCACTGTGCTGTGTTAGACGATTTTTGTTTTTAAATGATGGGTTTAAATGTGAAAGCATAGGTTCCAAAGTTAGCTTGGGATGGCTGTTTACCCATAGTCATACTCTTGAACAGTAGGGACTTAATTACATGATTTTCTCAGTAGTAGCTTATGTAAGGAAGCATGTAGCTTAGGTCATTTTCTTCTAGTAGCTTTTTAACCTGTTAAATGTATGTCCAGAAAAGCTCTAAATGTGCATATGGCTCAATGAAAATTACATTCAGCACACTTTGAGTACCAGCACCTGGATCTCAAATCTAACATTTCCTGGAACATTTCCATCATCTCCAAAGCCCCTTATAGTTGCTTCCTCCAAGGTATAAACACTGCTCTGTCTTCTAACTTCATAGAGTGGATGTTGAATATTACAAATGATGTTTCATAGTGTGTAAAATCATGCACAGACACATAAATATATTCACATATCTCTTCTAAGTACATAATATAAATACATGCACACACATTTATGTATTTTATTTCTTGGGATAATTTTGTTTCTGGTTTCTGCAGAGGATACATTTAAGTTTATTAAGCTTCCCTGTTGTTTGACAATGATTATGTGAAAAGCCCATGAACGTATCCATTTACTGCTTCACATTCTTACAGATAAAAACAAAATCATGTGGTAGAATGCTCACCTGGAGCTGAAGAGCTTACCGACAGCACCCAGGCCCAGAGTACAAGCCCCATGACTGACAAAAATAAAAATAAAAAACAAATAAAAACAAAGTCACAGGGTATTGGCTCATGCCTATCTATAATCCTTAGTTATTCAGGAAGCTGAGATCTGAGGATCACAGATCAAAGCCAGCCCAGGCAGGAAAGTCCATGAGATAGTAATCTCCAATTAAGTACCTGCAAACCAGAATTGGAGCTGTGTGTGGCTCAAGTGGTAGTGTCAACCTTGAGTGGAAAAGCTAAGGGACAATGCTGAAGACGTGGGTTCAAGCCCCAAGTACTCAGTACAAAAATGAAAAAGCATAGTCATCTAATATGCAAGCTTCCATTCCAGGTTCAGTGGCATTGCAGAGCACGGATGGTGGCAGGGGCCAACTTTTACATCGTCGGAAGAGATCCTGCCGGCATGCCTCATCCAGAAACAGGAAAGGATCTCTATGAACCAACCCACGGCGCCAAAGTGCTGACCATGGCTCCTGGCCTAATCACTCTGGAAATAGTTCCCTTTCGAGTTGCAGCTTACAACAAGAAAAAGAAGCGAATGGACTACTATGACTCTGACCAGTAAGTTCTACATTCTCTGCACAATCTCTGAGACACTTTGGGGTCTAGTATGTCCCCCAGGGCTTAGTGTATTGTCTCCTTTTTACAGCTGTTCTGATGACAGGCTTTTGGTACTCAATTCAGAGAAAAGCCGATGAAGGAACTAATTTCTCATTATTCTAGAAATTAGAAGTAGAAACGAAAATTGAATCTAGTTTCATGCTTTCTTGTTTCAGGACTTTTGTGGTTCTTAAGGGCAGTATTGATATGTCCGTGCTCACTATGTCTGATGCACAAATTAAGTACAAATGATTGGTGGCAATAGTATATATTTATCTCCTTTTCACTGACAGAACTGCACTTGATTCTGTCGAAGATAGTATCTGTAAGTAGTACCCTCTGTAAGTATAAAAAAATGAGTTGTGATGTTGTAGAATCAGAAGTAACTAGCTCTACTCGTGTACTTGCTGTGTGAGGCGATGAGTGTTTACCATCTTGTTTCTTTATCTCTGGAAGGATGGCAGTGGACCAGGCAATTTCCTTCTGGCTCAGCATCTGTAGGGTTTTGTCATTTGTTATGATTGGGTTTTTGTTGTGTTGTCCAAGCTGGGCTTAGCCTTATCATTCCCTTAGCCTGAGTCTCCTGAGGAGCAGGAGTTCATGCCACGATGTCAGGCTGTACTTCTTGCAACCTTTAGTACATCATTTATGAGTATGAGTTTACACGTAGGAGTATAAATAAATAAAACATGCTTTAATTTCCACCTTGTGAGTGTTAACTCTACTGAGGTCCTAACTGAAAACTGGCTGTGTGGCCTAGGACTGTTTAATCTGTGAGCTCTTGGTCTTTCTGCTTACATTTGAATTGGCAATTGTTCCATATAAGGAATAATGCTCACTGTGACCCAGCCTACTTATTTGGTATGGTCTATTTTGTCACAATGAAGACAGGAAAGTGAATGAAATCTTTTGAAGATTAAAACAGTATTCTTTTTCCTAAAAGGTACACTGATTTTTTTCCATTTAATTTATTAGAGATAGATATGTTATCTGGATAAAAAAATACTATTATTGCTATTGGAGCTTGGAGGGTTTGTTTTCTTTTTTGGGGGGTCCGGTCGTGGGGCCTGAACTCTGGGCCTGGGCGCTGTCCCTCAGCTCTTCAGCTCAAGACTAGCACTCTACCACTTGAGCCACAGTGCCACTTCCAGCTTTTTTTTTTTCTTTTTGCTTATGTGGTGCTGGGAAATCGAACCCAGGGCCTCATGCATTGCAAGGCAAGTGCTGTACCACTGAGCCATCTTCCCAGCCCCAGGGTTTGTTTTCTTATATAAGGCCATAATAATGTTTGAGACAAGTATGCTTTTAGCTAGTAGTAGGCTTCTTTGAGTGATGTACTGTAGCTAAAATACAAGAAGGTCTGAGGAAAGTGAAGGAACAGAAAAGAAAGTCATAAGTGGGTCAGGCAGTGTAAAAGGACTTCGATGTTCCCTAGTCTAGGTGTTGAATTTAAGATCAGAGCTATTTTAGTCTGCTTGCTGAAGATCTCACATGTAACCCAGATCCAGGATACGTGTGAGCCACACCAGAATAAAAACAACTAACCAGAACCTTTTTATCTATGTATAAAATCAGGTTTGCTAGCACCTATGAATAGTTCTAAATCATATTAGGCTTATTTAGCTTTTAAAAAATATATGGGTATATGTGTCTGTGTATGTGTGTGTGTATGTATGTGTATATATATATATATATATATATATACATATATACATATATATATATAATAGGCAGGCATTTCTGTGTATATACACTATAATTTCACCATCTGAAAAAAATACAGCTAAACAAGTAGTATACTAAGATACATTAATTGACTTTTTCCACCAAGCTTGTGAAACAAGAATTTTAAGAAAAATATTAGCAATTTTAGTAAACTTTTAACTATATTACCACAAAAAGTAATTGAAAGAAATGTACATTATGAAGGAAAGTGAAAATATTTTGGGTACAGTTTGTCCTTTTGTGATTAAACTTATACAGGCCACCAAGGAAGAGTCTAATTTTCTTAGTCTGTGGAGAGTCCTACCCAGTGGTTAACTCTTGAAAGCACTCACCTAGAGCCCCTGAGCCAGGGTAACAGTGCCTTCCCACAGAGCTATAGAACACATGGTGTCAAGGAATACTGGCATGGAAGACCTTTTGCTTCTCATCCAGCATGCCACTTATGTGTCTAGTGTGCATTTAAGAAGCTCTGAACATTATCTTATTCTGAGAATTATCATGACCCACATTAGGTCAGTTAGATAGCAGCAAGAAGGAGCAAGGAGAGAAAAGTAGAATCATCCTGCCAGAAGCTGAATGCACTTAAGCAAGTTTCCATTTTGTTGTATTATGAAAGCAAAGCCAAATGAGAAAAGAGCTGAGCATTTCTCTTGCCCTTCTTTGATTGGTACATTTTGTTACTGTGGTCCCTTTTCATGGTCAGCTGGCTTAATCACACACAGGACCCCAGAAACCCATCTGCATATAGTTGACTGATGTGCTGGTAAGCCCTTGATAACTTTGATGTTTGGTTAAATCTGTATAGTATTGCTTTAAGTCTCTCTTTTAATCATTCAAAACTAAATAATTACATCAGTTCTCATAAGATTTTCCAAAGATGAATTCTATATTAGTTGCATGAGTGGCTCATTTCCTTGGAATTTTTTTGGGTTACCAAATCTTAATAAGTTATAACGTGGGAAGCTTTAAAACTGCCACAGTTTTCTAGCTTTTTGTATTTGTGTTCAAATATAATTAAGTTGATGGGAATATGTTGGAAAGTGATTAAAATTTTGTGGAAAGGCGATAGTCTTTGATGTAGTGAGAAAACACAGTTATTAATTATGCACATATGAGGTTGTCTATGTTTGATTAATGGATGTTACTCAATTCCAGCTTTTATGTAATTAATGATTTTGTAGCTTTTGATTTTATTAAATACCAGTGTAAGACAAGGCTTAGGGGGGGAAATTTCATGAAGATTTCAGGCAAGATATTATTGATAGGAACTATGATAAAATCATCTGTTTACATTTAGGAAGTTAAAGAGATACATATTAACTATATTAAGTACTCAAAGAAATACAGTTTTAGGACTACACAAGCACATTCTTGAAGATATTACAAACTTTGAGACTCTGATTCTTTTTTCTTTTTGGTTGGTCCTGGGCCTTGAACTCTTGGCCTGGGCACTGTCCCTCAGCTCTTTAGCTCAAGACTAGCGCTCTACTGCTTTTTTTGTTTATGTGGTGCTGAGGAATCAAACCCAGGGCTTCATGCATGCAAGGCAATCACTGTACCACTGAGCCACCTTCCCAGCCCTCTTTTTTTTTTTTTTTTTAAATATGTGTGTATCCTTCAAAACTTTTTCTCCTTCTTTTGTATGCTTTTCATGGGAAAGCCTATCTATTCACAGTTTCTGTGCTTGGAACTCTTCAACTTACAGGTCAATGTTTCCCAGTTGCTAACTTCGTGTGACAAATCTGTATAAATATACCATTTTAAAACAACATGGATTTTGTTGTTCTTTAGGTCAAAAGACTTGAGTGAGCTTGCCTGTCTTCTCTGGCCAGGCTGGGCTCTTCTATGAGGGCCTATTTCTATGAAGATCCTTGTTATTTGCAGAATTTGGGAGATTCCATGTTTTAGAGTTGTACAACTGAGGTCCCAACAGTCTTAGAGACTATTGGCAGAGCTTGCTCCCTGTTCCAGGGTGGGCGGGAATCACAGTAGGCTCTTCCCCGTAGTACCCTGCATCTCAGTAGCAGAACCTCCTTTGTGTGATATTGCTCTCATGCTTCAAATTTCTCTGACTTCTCTTTTGTTTCTAGCTGAGAAAATGTTTTGCTTTTAAAGGGCTTAATTATTATGTTAGGCCTACTTAGGTCATTGTTATGATTTTTAAAAGTTCAAGTGACTAGTTGCATCTGCAGAATCCATTTTGCTTTCCAGCAATATACCATGGTGATATTGATAGGTAAAGGGCAGCGGGGCCATTTTTGAGTTCTGCTTACCATACCAGTGGGCATTTCCTGCTTGGATTTTTTTTTTTTTGTTGGTCATGGGGCTTGAACTCTGGGCCTGGGCACTGTCCCTGAGCTCTTCAGCTCAAGGCTAGTGCTCTACCACTTGAGCCACAGTGCTACTTCCGGTTTTCTGGTTGTTTATTAGAGATAAGGGTCTCATGGACTTTCTTGCCTGTGCTAGCTTTGAACCATGATCCTCAGATCTCAGCCTCTTGAGTAGCTAGCATTACAGTCATGAGCCACTGACACTGGCTGCATTATTCATTTATTTATTATTTATTGAATCTTTGCCATTGTTAGAAGTGGAACCTGTAGGGGCTGGGAAGGTGGCTCAGTGGTAGAGTGCTTGCCTTGTATGCAAAGGCCCTGGATTCGATTCCTCAACACTACATAAGCAGAAAAAGCCTGAAGTGGCACTTTGGCTCAAGTGGTAGGGTGCTAGCCTTGAGCTGAAGAGCTAAGGGACAGCGCCCAGGCCCAGAGTTCAAGCCCCACGACCGACATTTAATAAAAAATGAAAAAACAAAGAAGTGGAACCTGAAGTTAGAAACCATGAGAGGTTGTCATTGTCCTCCAAATTCTAGAGTGATGAGTACTTAACAGACTAGCTAACTCTACTGGACAAATCTAGTGTATCAGGGATGGGTTCCTGGACAAGTGAAAAAGAGAATAATGACATTATAGAGAAGAGGGTTAGTGCATAACTAAGTCCTTAAAGGGACTGGAAAGAACAACAGAATAAACAGTGGATATGAGATAGTCAAGGACCAGATAAGGCAATTATTTGAAGGTCAGAATTGGAATAGATCAACATTTTTAAAAGATGGGCTTGTCACAGTGCAGGTTGGATATAGGCAAATTCAAATTTCTGGTAAAGAGGTTAAATTTAAAGATTCACTCATCTAGCAATTAGCTAAAAAGGTTGACTATATTCAAATAGTTTCATAAAAA